GTACGCGAACGGCGGGATGGACGCTGCAAGGAAGAAAGTGAGGGCGTCAAGGGGGGGATGCTGGAGAGGGGATTTGACTTCAAAGGGCTCCTCGGGAGAGAGGGGGGAGGGCGTATGGTGAGACGTCAGATGATGGCATGCCAAGCCGTGAGTGTCTTGGTATATATACACAGCACCATGAGCACCTACCTGTACGACCCGAAGCTACTGTAGCCTGTGAGATAAGACATCGTTCACACGAGCTGCAACTTCAAATCAGTGTGAGTCCATTCGTGATTGCATGTGCACCCACGACTCCACAATATTCGAGGCAGTTGACGAGAAGTGAGTTGGCCAGATGCAGCTTCAGCAGCAGCACAGGCTCTCCCATGCATGCGTCGCAGAGAGAGATTTCGTCATGAGTCCCACGTCCTTTGCGTACCGGTACAGTCTTGAGTACGTGCTGGAAGGATCGCGCGCCACGATTCGCCTGAACAGAACACCGGCAAAGGTTATTCAATTGTGAACCATGCGGCGGCAGCACAGAAGGGGCAGACGGATTGGTGATTATCGCAGCTTGACCAGCACCAGCATATATGCAGCAAGCGCATCAGGGGTCGGTCCAAACGCCGATCCGACGGCAAACGGCCCTTTCAAGGCGGCTTGAGGTGCTGCATGCTGCGTGCTGCGTGCTGCGTGCTGCATGCGCTGCTGATGTTGCTGTTGGATACGCGTGCTGAATGGCTGCACGACGCGAAGCGCCGCATATAGGGAATCTCGAGTCAAACACCACCTCTGTGCGTTGCTTCATTGCCTTCCTTCTTGCACAGCGCTGTGAGATTGCGCAGACCGGCGGCATGCATGCTGCGGGGATCCAGCTGCGATTGCGCCCTGCTACTGTAGCTGGCTGCTGATGCAGTCTGAGTGAGAAGCAGCTAGGCAGGTTCACCGCGACAATCATGGTGTACGGTACAGCACAGCATATGACGAGCAACAAGTAACAAGTCTCTGAATCATCATGTGGATGCGCGGGTGATGTGCCGCTAGAAAACACTTTGTCCCTGCTGCTGCCGGCCGGGTCTCTTGCCCTGAGCGCAGCAGCAAGGCGGCTTCACGGCTCGCTTTCCGCCTACGACTGCGTGTGTGATGCTGATGTTCGACTGGTTGACTTGCTGAACGCTACGCTGTGTAATTGCTGCTGCTGTTGAGTTGCATCTCTTAATTGGCTCGCGTGAGTCGGCCCACGGCGCACGCATCTTCAGCCCAAACTCGTTGTCAGCTTGGATAGGCGAACGTCTCGCTCCAGCATGGCGACATTCGGTTGTTTGACATGATCGTGTATCGGAATGTGGATGTGCACGTCGCGGATCCTCGCGCGGCAGGGGCCGCTCCGCCATCTAATGAGCCATGAGCTAGCAGCTCGTTGTAACATCCGCCGCGTCGCGCACATATAACAGTCAGCAAGAGTATACGGACGGACATGGCCACAAGCTCAGCTGACTCGCTGATTTTCAAATTCAAGCTCGGCTGAGCCCAGCCTACCCGCGATGCATGCAACGATACCCCGCCTACTTTCCGTGCCTCTACGGAGCGGCCCCGGTTTGTCACGTTGCTATAGCTACTTACACATTCACCGCCCAAGGTTCACACGTCGATGACCCCATGACTGATTGCTTCTCTCGAGGGGACGACTATGTAATGCTCGAGCGAGAGCATCAACAGTACTGTTACAGCTACGGGATAAGGCATGTGTCAGGCTGAGAAGGGCTCAGCAGAACCGATGATGAATGCAGACCAGCTAGATCGATCACCTTGAATGTGATGCACGCTTTATTCCTCTTCCTCTGCTGGTGCATGGATGTGTGTCGGCGAGCACGCGTGCGGGGCAACTCCGCGGCCTCCGCGTTTCGTTTGTATTACGCAAAGATTCTATTCTTGGTTATACCGGTATCCTTGTTTTGCGTGACGCTCGAATTGAATCCCGATTCAAGATTACACAGGCGCGACTATCCCGTGCATCATGCGTGGCGGAGAGAGCGCGCGGCGCGGCGCTCCCACGTGTTTGCCGAGAGGCCATACACATGCACACCGCGAGACTTTTGTTGAATCTTGAACAATATTCAAAATTGAACATCTGCAATTGGAATCAAAATGTAAGTTGAAGCAGAGGTATTCACGGTTATATAAAGCTGGCTCCGTGGCGCGCTCGCGCTCGCGCTCGCGCCGCGCGTGGATGGATCGTATCATGGCTGCTTCTCCATGTGCATCGGGGCAGAAGGTCGACGATGCAAAAGTTACCAAGGTTGCTGCTTTCAGATTCTGCTTCATCTTGTCAACAACGACAGCAAAACCTTGTCGGCTGGTCTCCACGGAGCATCAGCACCGCGTGCCGTGCTGGGCAGAGTCAAAAATTCTTTGCCTCTGCTCCCTCTCCCTATCCATCACGACCCCAACACGCCCCCGCTCTTCAGCGACGGCACATCGTCTTTCCGCTCCAGCACCTTCATTCTCTTTGCCCTTCTCGCAATCGCGCTCGTCTCCGCTTTGCGACGCTCCACTTGGAATCGCATCCTCACCTCGGATTTGCTCAAGCGCTCATCCTCCTACCCGCGCCAACAAGATGGGTCGCAAAAGCAACACAACGAAGTTTCCGGTGGCTAGGATAAAAAAGATTATGCAGTCTGATGAAGAAGTTGGCAAAGTGGCTGCTGCTACACCTGTAGCTGTATGTGAGTGTACAGCAGCTCACCGTGGCTGCTCGGTCTAGGCGAGCATGGAGCAAGGGAGCAAAGGCGTTTTTGCTTGGAGAAGCATCGAGCGACAGGATTTCCTGGGCGCAGGGCGATCGAATACCTGTCAGACCCGCACGCTTATTCCCATCCCCCTCTTCGTGCCCTTTTCACGGGCTGACAACCGCTTCCCTTGCTGCTCTCGCCCGTGATCAGCCAAGGCTTTGGAACTCTTCATGGCAGAATTGCTGGGAACAGCAGTGACGGAAGCGAGGAGCAGAGGTTCAAAAAGGGTCTTGCCAGGTCATTTGTGAGTGCCTGCAGCGCGCCAATACATACCCAATGTGGCTTCTTCGCAGGACCTGACAGCTTTCTGTACTGTCGACTCCGACGCACTCTAGGAAAGCGGCAGTGCAAGCGAACGAGCGGTTAGATTTCTGCAAGGACATTTGCGCCAGCGCACCGGACGTGCCAGCTGCGGACATTGCCGGACCATCATCAACTAGTAGTGGCGCACTCAAGACTTTGAGGGGAGATGAAGATGCAGCAGATTCCAATGGAAAAAAGAAGCGCAGGAAAAAGGAAGATTCGCGTGATTGAAGGCGAGCGGCATCTCTCTCCCTTGCTCGAGTTCATCTGCGCTCATGTACACCTAATCGCGGTCAAGTACTAGTAGCAATATGTATCAATAGCGCAAGGCGCGCCAGATCAGAGCGCCTTGATGAGCCTCATGGCGTCGTCGAGCAGCTCGTCCAGCTAGGCATGGTCGTACACGTCCGGATAGCACGCTGCGGCGATCGATGTGAGCAAGAGGTGGACCATGTGAGCAATGTGGCCAATCTTCAATCGCGCGGCATACGCTCATCCGAAGCGTGCAGTTGGCCGCCCAACGACCAATAATGCACGTAGAAGAAGGGTGCAACGAGGCGGAGGTTAGGAGCAAAAAGAGTCGATGACGACGTGCCCTTTGCCATCCAAAGCCGGGTGAGAAATCTGGATGAGATCCTCGATCACTCCGACGTTTGAGACTGGGAAAGCGTGAGGGCTTGCGGTAGGAGGGAAGCTGGTCACCTGCCATGCCTGCCGCGCGCACCACGGCATCGGAATAATGACCAATTGTAGAAGTTTGCAAGCTGGACGCGTACTCTTTGGTCAGTCTTTGGGCAAAGATTGGAAGCACCTCTTCCGGCGTATGATCGGACAGCTCGGATAAGTCCAGAACGCTCGCAAAGACCGTGATTGCACAGCCGATGCATGCTCTCCGATAAGGTTGCTTGTACCATCATCGCCTTTGATCGACCTAGAAGAGAGCAGACGGGTGGTCAGCAATACATTTGCAATCGGGCCGGTAATCGAACGCAATGCGCCGCCGCCGCCATCTCGCCACTCACGTGCACTGGAAAGAGGACAATTTCTTTTTGTGTTTCCATTCGCCGGCGAGCTTGTCGCGGAAAGAGCCATGCTGGTTGGATGCTTGGACAAGCACGGCTAGCCGAAGGGCCGCATCGAAGGCTGCTCCAATCGTCCACTCCAAGCTTCTTTGCCGACGAGAACACTTGCCGAGATTCGGCGACGCTCAACGTTCTTGCACGTCGATAGCTTTGGCCCAAGACGCTCGGCGCTGCACGGACTGGAGCGGGAGAAAGCATTGACAAAGTTTGATTGCTCAGAACGATGCAACTCATCAGGTCCGCACACATCACCTTCTCTCACCCGGAGCAACCGCGGGGGTTAGGCTCGAAAGTCATCCATGGAGCCAGATTCTCTTGCACCGCTTGATCAATCACTTCTGCAATCGACTGATCATCCGCAAAGAGATGTAAGGGTGGAGCGACCAGATTGTTGATCTCTTTTACCCCCATGGAAGCGTTGATGGGTCTGTCTGCGCGGCCAAGTGAGCCGCGATCCGACTGGCGGCGGACAAGAGACCTCGAGCATCGAGATGTACGTGGGTGCTGTGCAGAATCAATCCGATGCACTGGAGCGAATCATCTTCTGGGATAATCGCATGCAGATGCACGGGCCTCTCGTAGTCTGACAATCGAGAGCCGCTGAGCTTGTGGGAAAGGACAGTTCACTGAGTGCATGCTCAAACGCCGCCTTGTCACCCGGAACAGCGTGGAGCTGCAGAGCTGGCTTTGCGGCTGCTAGCGCTGCTTGGTAAGTCAGGCGAGGCTTGCTCGGTCCGAGCGCACGAGAGCTAAACAGGATGTGGGTCTGCTGGTGCTTTGATGATTTGCTTCGGCACCAGTCACAACTCCTTCTCGAATGCAACAATCACGAATGGTGACTGACCAGGGCCAACAAAGACGCGCGAATCCTCTTTGGTGTATGCATGAAAATCGGGGATAAGATTGACATTGGCTTTTGCTGGAGGTATGTACTCTTCACTTTTCAGCGCTCAATGGCCCCTCTGCCTACTTGGGCGTGATGAGAATTCTGACATCCTCATTGACTGCTTCTCTAAGGACCTCGACGTGTACCTGAGTCTCCACACTGTCGAGCCACTCGTCCGATCCTGCTAGATCCTCATCTCTGCCGCGCTGAGCAGATTGATTTGCGCTGGATCCCACGAGCAGAGCCTCCAAATCTATACTGCCCAGAAGGCTAAAGATCGTCTTGATGTCCGGCGCTGGAGCGGTACCTCCGGAAGGGCTCGCTTTGGGTGTTGTTGCGATAGGCGTGCTATTTGCGCTGCTAGTGCCGATCTCTCCGCCTGAGGTCTTCGAGGGAGAAGCGAGACCGATTGCTGCTCCCAGACCTCTCAAGCTTGCGAGCCCCGTCGATGTTGCACCTCCTCGCATCTTAGATTGTCCCCATTCTTCCACGCGCGCTTCGACGGCCAGAAGTACGCGCTCTACGATCTTCCACCCTGGAACGCGAGCATGGAGCCCGGGATCGTGCGGCTGGACCACGTTCGAGCCCAACGCGGACGTGTCAAAGTAGCCCGCATTATCCGTACCGTTGCTATAAGAGGAAGGCGACGTGATTGGCGAACTTTGAGGGTTCAAAGCGGCATCTGAGGCCCCACCACCTATCAGAGCCACAAGTTTCCTAATGGCGAGACTAGACCGCACGACTTCGTACAGAAGCTGCTGCACTTCTTTTGGAGAGGGCAAGTACTCGTCAGAGCGCAGCAACGCCAAAGCCAAAGTCGCAATGACCTGTGTGCCATGGAATGGCGAGGATCAGCAACAGTGATTCGCGCCTCAAATCACTCGCTGATGACTCACACTCTTTCCAATCTCTTTACAATCTCCGCTTCTCAATTCTGCGTGTCTACCCTGAGTAAAGCTTGCCAAGCTCAGCGTTGCTCGCCAAGCTTCTGTCCAATGGTAATGTATGCGAGCGCGGCGACCAGCCAGCAAGGCAATGCTCGCGCGTAGCAGTCTCAGTGCTAGTCTAGAGGGGTCCGGCACAGACAAAGACGGAGTCAGATGAGCTGACCGCCGAACGTCAATCAACTTTGGCAGACTACCTACAAGTGTCCTGTAGTATCTAATTTCCTGCTCAGGTTGTGTCTCAGAAAGAGCACAGCAGCGTCTAAAGTCGGCTGGATCAGCCTGTCTCTTGGGACAACTGGCATTGGCAAAGGAGGCGGCTTCTGCCGACAAACTCGTATCCTGTTGGCTATGAGGCTCGCATCTCGCTCCTGCAGCAATGCGACCGTGCCTGAAGCTTGATCAGCCGCGAAAGCGATCAGAAGCAAGAGGCCCACGTGCGCATACGCTCGTCCCCTCTTGGAGGAAGCGCTGTGAACAGCCAGATAGGTAGAGAGCGAGAGTAAAGAAAACGACAATTGAGGATTACCAAGCTTTGCGACGCCGTCACTGCTATCAGCTTCTGTTGTGTTTGGTTGCGCATTGTCGCGCAACAAGACGTCAACAAAGAGCGGATTCGAGCGCGCCAAAAGTAGCACGGGCAGGAGTATCGCGATAGGCGCTGGCGGTCTACAAAGGGCACCTCAAGGTGTCAATTAGCCTTTCATCTGATCAATTTCAGGCTTCACTACCGACTCACAGATGGCCAAAGTCGCCCTCCTTTCCTCTGCCCTTCTCGCCAGTGGCACCTGATGTGACGGGCACAAGCCACTTGAAGCTTGCAACGCCGATCATACTGCTCGCAAAGGATGGTGCCGAGTCGTCCAATTGCTCCACGTAAGCTGCAACTGCATCGCCAGCACAAGCAGCAGCAGCATTGCTGATGGCGATCATACACTCCTCGTCCACCCAATCTCTCATCCTACGTGCATAGGCATGTGCTCCTGAGCCGCTTCCTCCGCTCAAACCACTGCCTCCAGAGGAGAGTCCGAGAGACGCTAGAAGGCCCAAGAGGATGGCAGCGTCGTAGACGTCACCAAGAGAAGTGGTTCGGCTGAGATAGGAGGAACAAGAAGCGTACAGGTCACGCTTCCCCGCGAAATACGCTGCTAACGATGTGGAGCCGACGTGTGACAGCCAGAGGATAGCAAGCTGCAGAACTCTTCGCTGTTGCTGCACATCGGACTGCTCGCTGGACAAGGCATCCGAACGCGCTTGACGATTGCGCTTGCTTGGCTCTTGGAGAGCATCGTCAATGGCGGTGACTAATAGACCAAATTCGTTGTCGGCTTCGTCCATCCCTCCAGCGAGGACGTGGATGACGTCGAACGCATAATTTGAAAAGCGTTTGGAGAGGATCGCACCAGAGATACCGTGCAGCATCTGTGTGGAGGCGGCTTCGCACTTGAGTCCAGCGCCGTCGCATACAGTGGAGACTGCTCGACGCTCACCTCGACCGCGTTGCTGCTCCTCGTCGCGTCTCCCTCTCTCCACACCCTACTAGCCTCTCTCCACAGGCTGCCAATATTGTCTCGCACAACGGCATCAGTCCCGGATGAAGACAGAAGGGCTCTCGCACTGATCGGATCCAACAGCTCGCTAAGCGTAGCCTGTTCGACGGGCAAACAAAGGAGGTCCAAAAAGTATCTCTGTCGAGGGCCAGAGGGTGCCTTGCCAGAGGCTTTACCAGACGACGAAGCCAGGTTGCTGGCTGATGATGCTCGACGTGACGAGCCTAGCGGCCCTGTACCTTCGCTGTGAATCTCCCAAGGCTGCTCACCGGCTGCTAGAGATGCAATGCTGGCGTAGAACTTTGTACGAAGCTTGGGCCGCCCAGCAAACCCCAGTGTGCTCTCCTTCCGCGCGCGGGACATGGCTGCAGGCGTTCGAGGGGTCTAGAATGCCCGAACTGCCGGTCAGCGTTGTCGCTTGGTTTCCATCGTATCTTCGCTGCTTCCAGGCATCCGTCTTGCGCACCTTTCTAAGAAGCTGCAATCGCGGACGATCAAGAACCGTGAGTCACGAGTGTGAATGAAGTTGCTCCGTCGCGCAGAAGGAGGGCCGGAAGAGCAGGGTACGTCCAACAAGTGCATGCTAGCTGCGCAGGCTCGAGGTCAAAATCACGTGACTCCTGCGCCAGCGCGTGGTCTCTCGTGCAAAAAATCATGGCGCGCAATTCGCGACGCTTGAGGACTGCACACGATCGTGGATCACGTGAATCAAGAACGGCACGCAAATTCATCGAGCAGCAGCAGGATCAGCCCCGCGCCATTCGAGACTCATTTGTACTCATCCAAGATTCAAGAGCAGCAGCGACGCGCCATGCGCGGCGAAGGCATGCGGAGATCGAGGGGGATCGGACAAAGCTGCTGTGCTGGGCAGCAGGAGTCTGCTGAGGAGGAGGTCGGTCGCTGTTGAGAAGAGTGTGATTCCGTCGCGGGTCATCACCTTATCTCATCGCCTACACCATCCTCCCCTCTCGCATTCGAGATTTGTATGCTCAGAGCGAGCGCTCACCGACCACAACAAATCAAAACGTCTCGCGAACACCAGCTTTCCATTCCCAACGCCGTCTGCTCAGACGCGTGCAGCTTCACCCTGTCGCATCGACATCTGAAACCCAATGGTTGCATGATACTACCTCTCGCTGCTCCGTCTTGCAACACATGCAATAATGGACATCGATCAACCTGTCGCAGGCTCAGGAGACACTCGGCCGGCCATCGACGAGTCTTCTGCTGTGGATCCATCCGCTCCGCCAGTGGAAGGAGCCGTCGATACTTCACTCAAACAACCCTTTGCCGTCACAAGAGATTTTGACACTTCCGAGGGTGCTCAACCAAGCATCGATGATATCCTTGCCAATACCGTTGGCGCTCCTATGGATGTCGATGATTCGAATACGAATCCTACAGACGTCGCTGCCAGTCTCGATCTTCTTCCCTCTTCATCCGTTCCCTCAGCAGACTCAGCTGTGGACCCTGCTTTGGGGCTTCCACCACCGGATGGACCAAAATCTCTGGTGGAGCCCGTCGACTCTTCGTCGGCGCCTTTAAGTTCTGCCGAGATGGATACGTTGCTGCAAGCGCCTGTCGCGATTGATGCAGAGCAATCCACCACGAAGGAAGCCGCGCCAATGCCATCGGCCGACTCACAAGACCAAACGACTGCCGATATACCAGCAGCAATGACAGATATCCCGGAGAGCGTGCCTGTTTCAGGAGTCGGCTCGCTGCAGACATCTTTGATCGGATCCAGTGCGAGTGCCGTGGCTGCTGCTACTGCCGCACTTTCGAGTGGCACCTCGTCAGGCCTGCCCAGCACCGCACCTGGCGGCGAACCCTCGCAAGAGGTAGACGATAACGCAAACGCTGCACTGGCGAGCAAAACAACCACCACCGAAGCTGCTATTGCACCCTCGCAATCACCAGTGGACGTGACTACTCCCACTGTCGAGCCGAAGACGGACGCCTCAAAGCCCGACAAGAGTGTTCCAGCTGCACCTTCCGAAGACGAGCCTGCATCAGAACGCATTTCATCCTTACCTATCGCCGAGCGACTTCCTCTGATGGATGGCGCTTTCGGTCCCGATAAGACCGTGTCGCCGGGCGAGTCGGACAGCTTCGGCCAAGCACGATCGCTCTCTTCGCACGCCGTTCCTGCCGCAACAGAGCAGACCTTACAGACGCAACCGCAAGCGGAAGTTCAGGAGCCAGAGAAGCCTAGTGAGGCAGCCGGCGGCCAGCCTGAGTCAGACATCACTGCTGCGCGCGTCGCTGCGGAGGCACCGAGGTTGCCAACGCCGCCTCTCACGGCTAGCTCTGAACGCGGACAGCAGGCTGAAGGATTGAGCCACGAGCCACAGATGCGAGCTACTTCGCCCGAGTCAGAGGCGGCGTCACAAGCTCAGCGGGCAGGCGAAGGAGGACGCGCAGCTACTGCTCAGCCTGCGAAGGTCTTGTCTCCGACCGAGTCGTCGCAAGGACAAAGACCGTCCGGTTCCAGAGCCAACAGCACGTCTGCTACAGCTTCCGTGCCTGCAGGCACTGCGACAGGCTCGACGCTAGTGGTGCCAAAGGCACCTTCAGGCCGCATCACTCGCTCACAATCGCCGCGAACGCCGCTCACCGCCCTGCCTGAGGTGCAAGACGCTCGCGTCGAATCGGCACACAATGGAGAAGACGGCATCCAGGATGGTGCTATTCAGGCATCCACGAATGCAACAGGTAAAGGTGCGAACCCAGTTGCAGAAGGCCATTCAGACGGCGATCGTCTTGATATGCCCTTTGAGAGGGCGAGAACAGCGATAGGCCAAGAGCCCGGTCCAAATGGCACGTATGTACCAGATGATAGACGCGTCGCTGCCGGACCCTCGAAGCCCTTACCATCTGGGTCACCGACCCAATCAAAGGCAGAGCACAATTCTAGTACCCCGTCGACCTCCACAGAAGCTGTCGAATCACGGTTCACGAGACCAGATCGACCACTGTCTCCTCCACCTCCCCAACAAGCGCAGCGTTTGCAGCAGCCTGTGGCTGCCAGTCAGGCCCATGCACGATCCGCTTCGCGCCCGCCAATGAAACAAAGCTCTGTTGGAGCACTGCCAAATCCACCGATGGGGTCAGGAAATGGCCCGCCTCAGAATCAGGCTCCCACCGTGGACCAAGTGCGCGCTGCAGGGCTGGAAAGAGAGCGAATCGAACGTGCGGAGCGCGAGAGGAGAGACCAAGAGGCGCAGGATAGACAAAGAAGAGAGAGAGATGAAGTTGCGGCACAGGAAAACGAGGATAGACTGATTTGGCTGTGAGTACCGTCCCCAAGCCTCGGGCGGCCCTTGACTTGCTGCGATGCTCATTCGCTCCGCTTTTGTCGTAGGTCCCTGCCATCGAATGATCATCCGACATACTATTCCGATACTTCGGAGGCGTCGTCCTCTCGATTGTCTTCGCCAGAGCTCAGCCAGCATCCTCTGCCCTATTCCGCGAAAGGTCTAGCTCCGTGGCTAGGCCCGCAGGTGCCCTACTCGTCTGCTATTGACGCCTCGCGAGTGGCCAAAAGACCGCGCCACGCTCCTCGGACTAACGGCGTTCATGATGATGAGGCAAGCGAGTCGGGCGTGCTGGACGATGACGGTCTGGAAGAGTACCATCCAGCTTCGCACGACCCGGAAGCTTTCCAGGGTCGACTGAATAGCACGGGCAATCGAGGCAACAAGCTCAAGCGAAGAGATGGCGTGAGGTGGATTCGGCGTGGAAAGCTTGGAGGCTGGACCGAAGCGCGGGGGGAGAAAGAGGTAAGTACAATTCATAACCCAATGGACGACGACGGCGGCATTGGTGGCGAGAGCGCTTGCTAATTAGACGTCTCCGGCCTTGGGATCTTGCAGGTCAACGATAGGGTGCGACTGAGGATGGCTGCTCTGCAGCGAGCTGGCATTCAATCTCTATTGAAAGCAGCACCTTATCCTCACCTGTCATTGCCCGTTCCTTCAGCCGAGGAGCGCCTCGATGCTGCACTTAGACGGGGCCATCTTGACCATGGAGGAGCTTTGAAGCCCGAGCTGCTCACGTCTACTGCTCTTGCACCTACACTGCTGCGGCCCATCAGCACGCCTCGCGCTCTGCTGTCAAGTCACACTTTGCGGCACACTTTCAGAAACCCACATATCGCAGCGCTTAGCAAGACGGCGCTTGATCTCAGGGAAAGCGAAGGGACTCTCGGTCGGGCGCTCGGGAGATGCTTTGCCGACATGGAACGCTCCGTTCTCCCAGACAGTACTAGGCCGTCAGACATGCCACTTGACAGCTTACAGATGCTCCCCTACAACCCACCCTTCATCTACGTGGACATTAGAGGCGGCCCATTCACTCATCGCGCCATCGATGCGGACGCTATTGGAGCGGACGGCACCAATTTGACTGCGGATGAGCTCAATCCCAGTTTCGAAAGGCTCGACCCTCTCTTCGTCACACCAAATGGACTTCCAATTCCTCTAGGATCAGATCCCAACACTATCCAGCCGAATGGGGTGCCGCACGAGGACAATGATCAGTCCGGCCTTCCGCCACCTGCTCAAGCTGTTCTGAGCCCAGTCCAGCAAAGGGATGTGGTACGTGCCGCTCTCGACTGCTTGCACGAGCTGGCTACCGATAGCAGAGAGTACGTCGAGAGGCTGGACGAGGTGAGAGCTCGACTTGCTGCTGTTAAGCGCGAACGAACCCGAGTCTGGCAAGCATTGCGGCGTTGGGCTTTGGACAAGGAAGAAGAAACGATTGCGGCCGATGAGGCAACCGCGAACGACGCTATTGGAGCTGGGGAGAAGCATTCATCAACCCTCAATGGACATGCTTCAAACCAGGTCTCGTCTACAAGAGGCAACCAGCGAGCGGCAGCCAAGGACAAGTCTACTTCATCTGCAGCAAATGCTAGTGGCACTACGAGAAAGAAGGCGAGGACCGCTGCTTCTTGATCAAGCCTTTCCTTGCCCTGTACAAACACGCCTTCTTAGCTCAACAACAACATTCAACTTGCAACCTGCGCGACTTGAAAATGATGCAACTTCGCACGCTTTGACCAATCAACCTTTCGAACATACCACGAGGTGATACAAAAAGTGTGCAAATTTAATGCGTTGCGCGTGCTATACCGAATGACTTGATGCCGATCAGGTGCTATCCATTTTTATCCTTCTTAACTGTGACTTGGTTCGCTTTGCGTAGCGCGCGCGCAATGGTCGCCGCCTTGCCGTCACGAGCCTTCTTCTCGAGCCGCTGCTGATGCATTCTTCGAGCGACGGCATCGTGCGCAGGTAGCGTTCTGTACCGCTTGTCAACCCGAAACGCGCTGCCGACATGATGATCGGTCTTTGGCGATGGCACTCCCCGAGGTAGCAAATGCTGGAAAGCCAGAGGGATGGGTACACCACACTCGGCCATGTCGCATAGAACGAGAAGCAGCATATGGTGGTCTGACGCTGATTCGAAACTTTCTGCGACGCGATCTTTTAGCTTCTGGGCGACTTCTGCTGGCGTGTGTATGCTAGAAACATCCTCTAGCCTTTCACCGGCGAGAGCTCCGACAGCTGCACTCCGGGCACCAGACGTCCTTCCTCTTGTCCCACGCCTGCTGAGAAAGAGTCCAGTACTGGCGTGGAATTTGGCGCGGCGGACCCGCATATCGCGTCGCCTACCAAAAATGTCCAGCAGCGCATCGAAAAAGAGTCCATCCGGACGCGTCGTAATGTCGCGGGGCGACGAGGCGATTCGGGGTGCACTGTCTGTCCACTGTCCGAGTTGCCACTCCTGCCGTAGCGCCAGATACTCGCTCTTAGCAACTCGGCGAGCCATTAACGCTCTCGGAATTTGCCTGCGCAGAGCATATATTCCCCAGCCGATTGGGAAACATTTCCTTCGTCTTCGCCTCATCTGAAGACTGCGGGATAAGTTTGGCACCGCACGTGACTTGCTCGTCGTGCGGGAAGCGAGAGGTAGCAGCCCGTAGGCTTTGCCCTTTCTCCCAGGCCAAGCTACGGATCTCAATTTTCTGTCACTCGATTCGCGCTGCTGCATCCGTCTCGGCGTGGCCGCACGCATACCCAGTCGCGCCTCAAGCCTCGTGTGCGCTTTCAAGCGACTTGAGCGGAGGGGTCGTCGCACGAGTCTCAGTCCAATCCGAGCTTCCCGAGCATATGTCCGAAATATAGAAGTGGCAGCTTCGATGGGCACGTGCCAAGCAGTTAGCCCTCTCGCAGCGTTGGGCGTTAGAAATGTGTGAGCACCTGTGCGCTGTCCAAGAGCTAGCTCTGACCGAGAACGGGCGGATGTCTGCTTCATCAAGCGCCACACCCGCTCAGCGAGTCCGACGTGTCCAGTCTTGACACACAAGTTGAGAAAGGTGCTCAAGACACGAGGATGAAGCTCCGGAGCTCCGACCGGCGGCGGATCTTGTCGTTGGGAGGGCGTGAGTATTACGCCCTTTGGTGCTCTCACGGTCTTGGGCAGACGTCTCGGAGGTCGCAGATGCAGAAAGGGATAGATGGCGCGAAAGATCGATGCTGGCTGTGCACCAGGCAGATGCTGACGTGAAGATCCAGCAGAGCTGCGTCGATCAGAAGTCCGCGTAGGCACAAGGGAGCTCCTCCGCGCAGCGAGCGATTCTGCACTGGGTCTTCGCGTCCTGCCAGTGGCTGTCGCATGCGACAGAATGGCAACCATGCGATAGGAGTCGTTGGCGCGCATAGCTTCGACGAGCTGGTTGCTAAGATTGTATGTTGAGCTTACGCCTCCTTTATGGGCATCAAAAGCCGCTCCTCCCGTTTCAATTCCCTTGCCGAAGCCGGGTGTGGATGTCAACGGCCTTGCCTTCAGGTTGGTGGAGCGGCATGAGCGCTCCGTCACGTAGCCCTTCAGCATGCGCAACATTGCGTTGCCAAGCCGTTTATTGCCGCGCAATGTCGCGCGACGTAGAATTAAATTCGTGGTGACGCCATCCGGATTTACCCCACGCGCCAGACTCTGTCTCAGAAGCAATTCTGCCGCCTTTCCGTCGTGTCCTGGACGTAAAAGATGGTGAAGCAGAGTGTTGAGACTGCTGACATCTAGAGCGCGAAGATCGGACGATGTAGAGGAAACATTGAGGTGGTCGCCCGTGCTACTTGGCCCCACTGGTACCATTGGGGCGGAGTGCTTAGCAGCAAGTGATGCGAGAATCGCACTCGCTCTTGTTGCAGGCTCGCCTGAAGCGTCTGCTAGCTTCGATAGACGTCGCAACAGAACTGCGGCTGGCAAGCGTTCTGCACTTCCGAAACGATGAGTCGACGGGCCCGCACTGAGTGGCAAGAGACCATCACGAAGCATTTGACCCAACAGCAGCAGAGCCTCCGCTCGATCTAATTCCAACTCAGGCCAGATTCCGTTCGCTCCCGGGGAAGGTGTTGGCGAGATTGCATCGCGCATGTCGATCAGCAGTCGCGGAGGCAGCCGCGTGCCGGGGGATGCTTGCTGATCTAGAGCCCGACGCTCGTTCCGAGCGCTCACCACAAGTGAACGAAACGATCGGGCCGCTTTGGCGCACTGTCCATTCTTGAGCACTGCTCTAATGTAGTCGGCGCCAGCATGGAACTTGCCATCGAAATGGTCTAGCTCAAAATGAGCTGCGCTGATGGAGGGCCAAGCACCGCGATTCCTGGGGGTGTTGGGTTGATATGGGAGAACAATGCAGAGGTCGAACACGAGGCTAGCTGCCTCTCTATGCTCGCGGGATGCGAAACTAGGTCTGTAAGCTATCTTGCGTTGAACCTCTGTGTTGCAGCGACCCAATACATCAGATGGCAAACGGCCGCTCAGGGCGAGCAGCGTCATTGCCGCAGCCTGAGGAAGGGCACCCAGCATGTCTGCTGAGGCACGCTGTTTGCCCTTTTCCTGTGAGTGGAACTCGAGTGTGGCTCCCTTTCCACCTTTTGCAACCCCGAGATCTTCGGGACTGCCTCGTCGTACGTCCCATCTATCCTCGACAAAGCTGATCAGCCGTTCAGCAGCCAGCAGCGGCTCAGATCGGGCAAGAGCTTCCCAAACCCTCTCCAACTCCGGGTTTGCGCTACAATGCGAGCTTGCAGCGTCGGGAACACCGCCGGTCATCCGCTGTTCGACACTTTGAGAGCCCAAGCTCATATGGTGGGAAGTTGACAGCTTCGCCTCCTTAGTATGTGTGCGGCCAGAGCGGAAGTAGTCGCGCGAGAAGGGAGATGCAGAAGGGCCGACTGAAGGGCTTAGCATTTCTTGGATTTCACTTGGGCACTGGGATCGTTGCGCTACGTCGTTAGAGTGCGAGTCTCCAAGAGCTGTTTGGCGGCGGAAATAGGCAGCTGGTAGCCTTGAAGAGCTAGAAGAAGGCCGCGGTCCTGGCGAGTCATCAGATGTCGGAACAAGGTGAGGCCCTTTCGCTGCCCAGACTGCCGAGCGGTGTCTAGCACCTGCCGTGCCAAAGGCAGAGGATGTGCTGCCGGAGCTAATAGGCTCTGCGCTGGGCTTGTCTGCAGCACCCGAAGAGACCCTGAACACTTGACTCGCGCCGGATGGAGCATTGAGCATCGAGGGGCGTAGAGTGCCACAGGCCAATCGTGAGCGCATGAGCGCACCTCTGGACCTACGCCTTGCGTCGTGCGTCTATAGATGAGTCATCGGGATCGAAGCTGCAAAAGCATCCCACAAATGTCTGCAGTTGTGAGGGGAATGATCGAACTCGAAGGGTGGGTCCGCACAGAAAGATGTCTTGGGATTAGTCCCTTCCTTAGCTGTCAGAAGAACGCAACCCATCACAGAGCCCACCTTCAGCAATTTTAGGGTCAGGCCTTTCAACCTCTGCACGGCCTTAGCCACATGGATCGTTTTCCCGGCCGATAGATGTCAGCACCACACGTGACCGATCTAGCCTCCCGGGAAGAGCGCGATCTACGTGACTGCTGCCCCGCCATGCAGCCGGCACGCACACCAGGCCTGCATGCATTCGCGCAGGCTTTGCGGATGAGGATTGGCCTGGGAGCCAGCAGCCAGTCTGTTCTTGCTCCGTCAAACTGCATAAAGCCACGGTCCGTGAGTGCTCAAATGAGCATGTAGCGCAAGAGCTTTGCGCCCTGGCACCGAGGCGAGGTACAGAGTCACCAGCCGTCGTGAGTCGAGGGTCCCGAGTCAGTCATCTGGATGAGTTCCGCTCGAGCGAGCGTGCACTGTGACTTACGACTCAAGACTTACGACTTTGCCCGCCGCTAATATGCACACCGGTACGCCCCTAGCTGCATGCATGCATATGGGCCTGATGTAGAATCACAAAGAGCAGAGCTTGAGCTGCTGCATATCCGACAGCTCGATTGCTGCCGCGCGACCCGCATCATCTGTGCAAGCAGAAGTGTCATTGCGCCGCGGGTCAAATACATGTGTTGTATTGCCTATATACTGCATACAGCATATCGAAATCACAATCACAGTGTGCACGTACGATGTCCCGCCGCGGTCCGCATCAGCGCTCCTCATCTCGAGTACGACAACAGCGACATACGTACTCACAGCAGTGAGGCGTTCCCGCACCCACGACGGACGTGAAGCTAAAAGAGAGAGAGAGAGAGAGACCGAACGCGAGTAGCACACGCCCGGTGTGCGTTGATGCTCGCTATAAAGGTCGACACCGTCCGCTCTCATTCCCTGCCAATACCTCCATCTTCCCTGACCCCAACGCGACGCACGTGTATGGCGCTACATACTACACTACTAGATAATCGGTCGGCACAGTAGCAACCCACGCGTCAGTCTTGTCCAGCCGCTCGCCTCCCAAGTTGCCGCTCCTCGAGACCTGCAAACGCACGAAACAGACGTACTGATCTGCTCGCGTAGAGAAGACCATGCCGCTATTTCGTCGGCGATCTATTCCCAAGGTGTCCAAGGCGGCACCGGCCTTGCCTGACCTTGCCTTGCCGGGGCTGGAGTCAGTAGCGGATCTCAACGCTGCTTATGGTATGGCCGCGCCAGCCTCGACGGACTCTGATCTTGCTCAAAGTGATCGCAATCCCAAGACGCAGCAGGTACTTCCGGCCTCGCTACCGAACTCCCTTGCTCAGACACCTGCACCTCGACAGACCCCGCAAGCTGAGCCGCACAAGTCGGAGCTTTCGAGCGATCATCCTCCCTCAAAGACGTCAGCGGCTTCGATGCTCGGCAACTCCCCGAGTGTACCTCAGTACCATCGGCCCTGGACCCGAGAGGGTGTAACCGATTATGCATCCTCGTCACCTCTTGCAGCGCCGAACGCTGGCACCCCGCTTGTAAAATCTGCGATCTCACCTACAGCGCAGCACAGACCTCCACCAAGCGCATACAAGCCTAGCCGCGCTTCGCCGGCAAGTGAACAGGACTTCCGCAACTCGCCAAATGCTGTTTCGCAGCAAAGCCCGCAAGCGAGACGTGCAGCCATTGAGGCTGGAAGGCGCCGATCGCTTCGCCGTAGCAAGGCGCCAACACCTCTCAACATACTCGTTGCCGGTGCGGCGGGCACAGGAAAGACGAGCTGGATTCGAACACTGATCGCGAGCTGCGAAAAGGAAGGAAGCGTGCAGTCTTTGGATCGTGAGCGTTCCCCTGATGTGATGACACGTGCTGATCAGTCACATGCTGACTCCTCTACCTTGTCTGCGCGTTCAGCTCAATTGATAGGCCATGGACTCTCCCTCAATCCAACGCATCGGACACGACTACACAACCCGCCGATTCCCCTGCCAACGCGCGCCGTCATAAATTTGCCCGCTTTTGATCTTGCTTCCGACGCCATTCTGCCTTTGCCTGCAGCACCTGGATCTGGCGTGTCGCGGGGCTCTCGTGGGCGAAGACCGACCAGCATAGCAAGCACCGCTGCAGGCTTACCTACAAGCCGCATTTTGGTCAGCATCACGGATACACCAGGGCTCGACTTTGCTCCAGCGAAGGAGTGGGAAACCGAGAGGAAAGTACGAAGCCTGCTACGAGAGATTGAGAGCCGCTTAAGTCGCACGCTGGCAGAGGAGACCAAGATCAGCAGGGCCCCTCAGTCACTGGCCGATAGCCACATCGACTGCGTCATCTACATTATTGACCCTCTTTCTTTGAGTCGGTCATATGGTCCAAAGCTTGACTCGGTGCTAGCAAGGAATGGCTCGGCAGCCGGCAGTGTAAGCGCAGATTCTAAGCGCGATTTGGAAGGTGGCAGCTACGAGAGTGCGGGCTACAAGCGTACGAAGAGCATATCAGAAGGCATTGCTGCACGCGATGCCATCTTGTCAGGCTTGAGAAAGAGTGCGACCGTCGGTCGCGCTGCGGGGCAGGGACAGAGCCTCGCGTCAATGACTAATGGCTCGCCTGATCCTGCGTATGGCTTGAGCGCGCGTCAGGCACGCAGTTCCGGAGGGCTGGGCTCGCCTTTCGCAGAACATAAGGAGACTTTTCAGAATGCCGGCGGAGACTCAGACGGCATTGATGAAGAGGCAACAGCGGAGCGCGAGCTGGCACTGTCGCCAACAGAGTTGAGAGCTATATCTAGGCTGGCAAAGCATGCAACGATCATTCCCGTCATCGGCAAAGCGGACCTACTCACAGCCACGGCCCTCGTCGAGGTGCGCGAAGCCGTCAGGTCGTCTTTGATGCGGGCAGGCATTGGCTTAGGCCCATTCGATATCAGAGAAGAGTCTGAAGACCAAGACGGGGCCCTCGGGCCCGGGCAATTCAGAACGAATGGACACTCTCATGACTCCTATGAGGACGAAGAGCGCGACGGTACAACTAACCAATCTGGCGAGGCAGCTCCGTCAAGCAGAGATGCGCCTGTCAAGCGCATTCGGATTCGCTCTAGGCGCACGTACAGCATCGCTGGTCAACGGACATCTATAGACTCGCAATCGCCGGGTGATGAACGAAGCGAACACGGTTCCCCGATTGAGCTCAAACAGACTCCTCCGATCTTCGACGACTTGCCCACAAATGCTGCTCTAGGGACTCTAAGCGCGCAACAGCTAGCATCAATCATACCATTCGCCATCTTCGGTCCCGAGTCAGTCCCACTTCAACTACCAGCAGCTTTGCGCAGAGAGCCCAATCCTGAAAGCTCGGCAAGCTTGATGCGCCGACCTTCTGCGGGTAATTTGCGTAAAGCTCCTCCGCCTGCTGCCCTAGATGAGGAATTCAGCCTCATGACGCCTTTGGACAGCGCTATACCACGCACGCAGGATGTGCCTCCTGTGCCGCCCCTGCCTACCAATCTGACAGGTGTAGCATCACCGGGAAGTAACTCCACCGGGTCGCCGTTTGTGCGCGCCCGGGAGAATTCGTCAGACTTGGCGATCTCCTCGACCCCTGGCACCGCCGAACAGATGGGGACGTCAAACGGAACCGGACTGTCTGAATTGGGACTACTCAATCTCACGGACGCTAGCGCCAGACCTGCTACCGCTGGAAGATCTACAATGCGCCCTCTCACGCAAACCGAGATGACGAAACTCGCGCGCCTCAAACGAGACGCTGAGATTGGAGCCATCCAGAGGGACACAGCTCCTCGTTTTGAGAGGTCTTACTTTTGGGGCGATGCTAGTGTCTTAGATCCGTAAGTGTAGATCTAGCTCCCTCCTGTGCTCGACCCTGAAAGTTTCGACTGACGTTCGGTTACAATCGCAGGGTCCATTCCGACTTTTCTGCCATGCGCTACGCTTTGCTCTTCACACACCTCAAGACTCTCAAAGAAAGTTCACGTGCGCTCTACGAAGAGCATCGTGCTCGAGCTTTGGAAGCTCGCAGAGTGACTTTATCTAGTAAGTGCTGTCACCCTGTTCGAGCGTTCTGATCGGAACTTATTGTGTCTTCAATCGTTCGCCTTTCTGCAGTGCCTGCCAACGAGCAGAGACGACTCATCACGTCCATTGGAGCTCTTTGACTGCCACGTCATCCGCCCGAACTCTTCTGTTGTTTTTGTATCGCGCTTCAAACGCTCCCAACGTTGCACCGATGTGCTTCTTTTCGCTCTTCGCAATTCCCTATTCTGCTGCTGGGTCGTCCCTTCTGTGCTAGTACTATCGCTGCTTGTGCTGCTGAATGCGAATCTCGTTAGCTCTTTCACTCCAAGGCAGAAGTTATGGGAGAAAGTAATGTGCGCAAAGAGGCCTCAATTCTTTCCTCAATCACATAGTGAAGCCGCAGCGAGCCACGGGAATCGGTCTGCTGCAGCGACGGCAAGCATATATCCTTGATTGCATGACCGATAGAGGAACTCTGGTGAGTTTTTGAGGATCCAAACTCCCAGCAGCCTTCGCTGCTTGGTGCCTCACAGTGATGCATGGCTTCACGAGAAGCAGTCAAGAGTGCGCACGGGCAACTGCTGCGTTCATGCAGTCGGAGGGAGGGCCCATGCGTGCGGCAAACGCCCTTCCCCGTCTCAAGGAAATTTTTGACTGCACTTCCGCAGACTAGCGGAGGCCCCGTCCTCAAATCACGAATCACGTCTTGATCCTTACTTGTTGCAATTAAGCACGTGAACACTCGTCTACATTCACCATCACGACCTGCAAAGTCGTTCTGACAACGTGCACCTGTGCTGCATACTTGCTGATGCTGTGCTGCTAAAGCACTGCTGGCCTGATCCTCCTCAAGATGTTTACGGCCCCGGAATCACCTTTTGATTTTCAGGTGAGCGCCAGAGCCATGGCGGGCGCTGGACAGAGCGCCACGGCAAACGACTGACTTCTTGCCCAATGTCCTTTCTGTTTTGTACTCGAACAGGCGCTAGACGGACATTTCATTTACACTGATGAGCCTGAGCCCAGTAAGCTGCCTCAGCTCGTTCCAAACCTGGGTGTAAAGGCTGGGCATACTTGGAAAGAGGTGCTTCAAGAGGTCAGGAGTGAGTGGAAAGGGTCAGCTTTGTCTTGGCCCTCTTTAATCAGCCAGCTGAAGGGCTGATTATGCCACCGGCAGGACTCAATGCTAAAGCGCGAGATGATGAGAGCGGGGAGGAGTATAAGATTGTCTATGCAGCAAGGCATGGTGAAGGGCACCACAGTGAGTTCATGGAGACGTGCGATCCAGGAACGATAAACGCCGACTGAATAGACTCGCTTCTTGACCTCAACTTGGTGACGTCAACCTTTGAATCCGCAGATGTCGCAGAGGCAAAGTTCGGCACAGAGGCGTGGGACGCAAAGTGGTCCTTGCTGAATGGAGATGGCGACGATGTGTGGGGACCGGACCCGCCACTCACCGATGTGGGCGTCGAGCAAGCTTTGGCGATCAAGAAAGCTTTTCAGGACACCTTTGCGACCTCGGACCCTGCGCCTCTGCCCACCTCGCTCTTCACTTCCCCTCTGGGTCGATCAGCAAACACAGCGCTGAATACTTGGGCGGGCCTCGAATCCATTCTCCAGGCTGATGGCTCGTGGAAAGCTGGAGGAGCTCTGCAGAAGCCGCCGAGAGTCATGGAAGGGCTGCGAGAAAACTTTACGGACAGACATACCTGTGATCAGAGGGGAGCTGCTTCACTCGCTCAGCTCAGAGCTCGAGGTTGGGACATTGAAGACGCCATTGGTGATCAAGACGATGTCTTCAGCGTAAGTTGCGACAGCGGTTCATTCTGCATCTTCCAGAAGTGCCGTCCGAGAGCGAGGCCACCATTTCAGGGGACGTGGGACTAGCGCATGCGCTGACTTCCCGATCCTCTATGATGCATAGTCCAACATTCGAGAAAACCCAGATGCAATGTCAGCTCGGGTTGCGGACGCACTGGCAGACATTTGGGCACGCTCAAAAGGCGAAGATGTAATCAGCATCACCTCGCACAGCGGGACCATGCAAGCTCTGTTCCGGGCGATCAGACATCCAGACTTCAAGCCTGTTCCTGGCGCGCTCATCCCTTTGCTCATCAAGGCCGCACCGCGCTCGGGCTCAAACGTCTCCCGGCAACAGAACGTTGCTGCGACTATTGGAGCCGATGCCGCTGCTGCAAGCACGGCCTTTGCCCAAGGTCTCCTCGACTCAAACTCGGAGCATGCTGTTAAATACGCGGCCTCTCAGCCTTATAAGCACGGTGTGGTCGATGGCTTGCTGAACGATGCTCTGCTCCGAGCCGCCCGGGAGGAGATTGTCGCAGAGCTGCGTTTCACCGAAAAGGAGACGGACATCTACAAAGTCAATCAGACTGGTGATCTCGCCAACTTGGACGGCTTGCCAGACTCTGAAGTCGGCAGGCTCCAAAATCTCCTGCGAGTTCGCAACGCCATCTACAGCGAGCCTTTCAGGGCTTGGCTGATGAGCGTGACTGGATGCGGACCGCTCAGCGCGAAGAACAAGGACATGAGCATTAACGACTATCGTGCGGGTTGCCACCTCCTCAATCACGAGTGAGTCTTCTCGACCACGCCGCTTCCAGCTCATGCGTATTCGAGCTGAGTGTGCTGTTCTTGCCACGATCAGTGATGTCATCGGAACTCGCCGGCTGTCCTACATACTCTACTTGCCTGACCCGAGCGATGATTGGAAGCCAGAGTATGGCGGGGCGTTGGAATTGTATCCAACCGTCTCTCGAGGTGTGCCTGTCAATGTCCCAAGTGTCGTCATTCCGCCAAGTTAGTGCCGCCGTCTCCACTCGGCTCTCGTCGGACTGGCTGCTGACGACTACTCTTGTCGTGACAGAGTGGAACCAATACACGTTCTTCACGGTGCAGCCAGGCCATTCCTTCCACAGCGTCGAAGAGGTCGTGGATCCCGGCCGCAGTAGACTCAGCATCAGTGGATGGTTCCACCGCCCACAGCCTGACGAGAAGGGCTTTGACCAGCAAGATGAACAAAGAGAAGAGGAAGAACGAAAGGAGCACGCTAGTGCAGAAGGCCTCGTAAGTTCGGCAAAATCTGAAGTCTATTGGTGATGCGCGCTGACCTGCAAATTTCGACGCTTGCGTTTCACAAGGCATCGAAGAAGGCAACAGCCTCTTATAATGCATATCCCGAGGAGCTGAACCCTCCCCTCCCCGGCTCACCCCTCAGCGCTGTTGATCGGACCTACCTGGCTCAATTTCTGAATCCGGCTTACTTGCAGCCAAAGACCCAAGCTCAGCTATTTGAACGCTTCGGCGACGAATCGCACATCTTGCTGGCGGACGTCCTGCGGCCAGAGCTAGCTGCCAGCCTCGAAAAGACCTTGAAGAGCGCTGATGGAGAAGCTGGCCTTAGGTGGTGGGAGAAAGGTGGGCGAGGTCAGGCAAGGATTCCCGATCACCAAACCGGTGTCACGGAGCGATGGAAGATTGTGGGACCACCCCATCGCCAGCGGTACCTTTCATTAGTCGGCAAAGACGAGCCTGCTAAGCCTGCTCTGTCCAACGCGCCCATTCCGCAACCGATCCCTACGGACCCCGAAAGTGTTTTGGACCTTCTGCGATCGCACTTGTTCCCCTCGCCGGCTTTCCGGCACTTTTTGGCAAATGTGACTCAACTTGTTCCGATCGGAGCACGTCCCTTCGAGACCCGACGTTTCCGACCAGGTCTGGACTACACGCTTGCACGAGCGGACAGCGAGGCGGTACTGGACGTTTGCCTTGGTCTCACTCCGGATGTGGGACGAAGTGCAATCGACGCTTCAGGCGGCGCGGCTGCGCCCAAGGGACTAGCCGCAAAGAAGGCTGCTGCAAAACGCGCAAAGACGAGCTCTACGAGTTCGAATGGAGGCATCACCAAGGCTGAGGCGAAAGAGTTGGCTCAAGCGTGGGAAAGTGGGGATGTTGGAGGCTGGGAGGCCTACATGGCACCTGCTAATGATGAAGAGGATCCAGCAGTGTACGGTGGTAATGTCAAGAAGCCGAAGGATGAGGCAGGCGCGCCGATCCAGGAGGATGCCGATATGCGTGACGCCGAAGTAGAGGAGGAGGATGACGAAGACGAAGACGACGATGGCGTGTTGCTTAACATCACACCAACATGGAACACCCTTAGCATTGCTCTGAGAGATGAGGTGAGCATTGTGTCTCGCGAATCTTGAGCCAAGATAAGACTCAAATCACAATCTCGTCTCCGCTGCCCTGCACAGGGAGTGATGAAGTTCATCAAGTATCTTTGCGCCTCGGCTGGAGGTAGCCGCTGGGATGTTGTTGGCGAGCTTGAAGTAGGAGCTGCCATTCAAGAAGAAGACGACGACGACGACGTCCAAGGGTAATCTCGATCAACACACTTGCCACCGACGACCTCATATTTGCTTCCGAAAGAGCTTCCATTGCTACTCAGTACAGTATGATGCTCAATTCTATCTAGAAGTTGATGGCGCTGTCGTCTCCAAAGAAAAGAAAATGCTTGCCCTCGCAGTACACCTCTTTGGGGTGGTTTTGGTGACTTTAGAAAGATTTAGGCTGTCAGGCTTGGATCAGATGTGCCTTCAGGCACTGCTGGGACGGTTGATCAACCACATCGCGCTGCAAACTTCGGTGGCCGCTCGATGCTTTTTGTCCGGGGCACTATTTGTGAGGTGTGAAACTCGGCAATGGCGCGCCGAGTGCGACTGCGTTTCGGGAAGCCTGTCCGGAGACTCCCAAAGTGAGCAAGCTCAGAATTGAGTCCGAGAGGAAGTCTCTGCGCATCGTATGTGAGATCGAGAAGACACGACATGCGTAGAGCTGGCCGAAAACAGCTCGGCGATAGAGATCACAATGCCCGAAGTGGTCATCATGAGTCAAAGCTGCACTTTGCGTCGAGCTGGTCGCAGTCAGGATGAAGCGACCACAGAGCTAGAGCAGCCAATCATGACGACCACTCGCAATGGAACGCAGGCGCAAATAGCACGTGTGAGGGAGACTGCGTCGTTGCAGCTCTTGAGTGGGCCGAAACTTGTGCTTCATGAACGAAGACGGTCCGAGGGCTTCTTTCGGGCCGTGCTGAAAACGCCACGTCGTCACCCACTGTGCACAAGCCTCGCTGTGATGTCAGATTGCACTCATACTCTAGGAGCAAGGCGTGGCATCATACAAGTCGCATCATCAGCGACTCAATCGGCGAATTCTAACGCGAAGGTGCGCAACTAGGGACGCGATTCAAGGATTTATGAACGAAAATTTTTTGAGTGAGATTTGTGCTTGGGCCGGATGGTCTAGTTGGGCTGGCCACCTTTCTAGAATATCTCCTTTGAGCGCAAGTGCGTGTACATTTGGCTGGTTGCGTGGTAGAGTACGAAACTCCCGCGGAGGACTCCAGAATGACCGACTTTTGCCGCGCGCGTGACTCGAATGCTTTTTACCCCTTGCGCGGCTACTCGATCCGCGAACTCTCTCGAACAAGTGTGGTACGCTCGGCAGACTGCGGTATTCCTAGGCAAGCGGGACACTCATTCGTTATGATTGCACGGTCGATACGTGGATTCGACGGACAGGCATCAGCAGAGGGTCAGCTGAAGCTGGCAGCGCAAAGGTCGGAGTGTACAGTCAAGAGCAGCATGCATGGATGCCAAGGATCATCAAATTAAGGGACGGTGCAATCACTTTACAATTTGTGCGCCTTCCGCTTCTCTACCCACCTCCGCGCCGTTGCAGGCTTCGATATACCTGGGATACCGAATCTACATCGAGCTCGCGGTCTTCGAGGAAAATTGGTTGCTGGCCTCGAGTGCATGTTCGAAAATGGTCTTGCAGATAGGCTTGCGAATACCAAACAAGCATGATCTTGCGTAGGAGTTAGAAGTTTCGACTCAACTGACCGCTGCAAATTAATCTGTGCATGACGGCTGCTCAGCGGAGATGGCACCTTTTGCCCGCCGTGGAACGACAAGCATCGTCCACTTAGACTGCGTACCACCCTTCTTCACATTCATGTGTGGGGCGCAAGAGCGGGTGTTTGAACTTCGACTGGAGTTTGCGAGGTAGAGTACGCATCTTGTGGAGGCAAAGCCTTCTGTCCAATTCGGGGTGCTTGCTCTAGTCTTGCTTTTCGCAAATCGTTTGGATGGTGGGATGTGCATGCACCTCTGCTGTGTCGACCAGCAAGGAAGGTGTACGCACGATTTAGTTGGCTATACAGACAATATTTGAAATGCTCAAGCCCAGCTGGCTTGATCAACGAGTCGACATTTCAATCAGAATCACAATCACGCTCGAGTCACGAAATGGCGAGTCAAGTCCGCGGATGCGTCGCCCGAGACGACTACACCATCATTATTTTGACTCGTATGAGTCATACCTACGTGAGTCAATGGTTTCAAAGCGAGGTATCTTTATAATTGTTTTTGTGAGTGGTATTCAGGACTGATATTGACAGTACATCCATATTCAGATCAGCTGACTCTTGCCTCGTGCTCTCATGTGAGTTGGCGCGATGCCCAGATCACCGTACTCATCAATCACGAATCCTGCATCGACTGACACAGAATGCTCATCAGATGTCATAATGTGTGATCATCTTCAAAGAGTTTGCTATAAGTGCACACTTGCACATCTCTTGGCTCACGACTGCCATCGCTCGACAGTCACAGTCGCGTGTTCTCAGCTTGAACACCGAACCAGGCGATTCCATGCATGGACACGGCCGGATCAGCTCAATCTCTGGTGACCATCCATCCATCCACCTCTTCTCACAAATATGGACCGCTCAAATGTCGGCTTGATAGCGCGGCACTCTGCCTTCACTGATGCGACTGCGTAGCAGCTGGGCAAATGCAACACCCGGCCGCTCGCAGACGCGGCATTCCACACATTTCCACACACGTACGTCGCACTTTTGCCCATGTCCGTTCATCAGAGCTAAAAGTTGACTCTTTGATGAGGAGGTGGTGACGTGAAGCGCCAAACGGCGGGTACGTCTTCTGCCACGGAGGCACACGATTACAAGCAACTATTGTGCAGCTTCGCCGAATCAAATTAGAGCGAATGGAACGGGCGCAGCAATTGGTGACGGACGGAGCAACAGCGGTCATCAGCTTGCACCAATTTGGGCAACTCCGCCCGTGACAGCCGGAAGGCAGGATTAATTAAGCTATTTCTGCTCTTTCGTTGATTGCTGCAATCAAGAATCAAAAAGTAGCAATCACAGGTCTCACTTCCGCGACATTATCGATTGATCATCATTTCTGCTGTCTGCGGCGGCCATGCGTGCAAACATCATGCAGTGCCTATAGCTGCAGGGTCTGGAGCGAAAGAACAGCCTTCCCAATCAAGACGCAGTCACAAGTCAGCATCAGAGCGCGATCATCCGCTCGGCGCTCATCATCCTCTCCTTGGCATGTTGGGAGAGTGAGCGCTGCGTATATGCGTACGATCGTGGATTCAAGGTCGATACTGCCTCAACCTCGAGCTGCAGACATGAACAACACGCGCAGACAATCTTCCCGTCTTCGACTTGCGCTCAGATGCACACTGCTCCTACGGGACTCGGCTGGCTGATGGTGACAGCGTGCCCGATCTGACGCCCTCGCAGGGGCGAACCTTGGACCCAACTGACCAGCTGCTGGCTGGTGATTGCCAATTGTGACTCACCTGGATGAAATCAGCAGCAGCGCTGAGGTATGGCTCAGTGAAACACGAGTCGCACTTGCCGGGCTCCTCCTTCACTTTCGTGCCCCTCCTTTGCTCAGCACGCTGCTCCAGTGCCGCAAATTGATGGTGGCAAGTCGCACGGGCTACGGGTGGAGAATTGAATTGCATTGTGATTTACAATTGGGCGTCGCCGCGTTTGTGTCCCGCGTCCTGATCCAACGCGGCTTACGTACCTAGCTCCCTCGATCCCCTTGCAAGTCTGAGTGTCCTCATCACTTAGCCCGCACTGTAACGGTACCGAGTTGTGCGAGTCAAATTGGAAGGTCACAGCCGGATTCCTTCCGTCGATCATGATAGTCGCACAAACGCGTGGCGTGCGTCCCGTTGTACACACTTGAGTGGTCGTATGACCCCGTGGCCAGTTCTAAAGTCATCACCTCGCCACCCGGCTCCCTTTCCTCCCCACTCCCCCATCCACAAGCAACCCCTGTCCCTCTCCAAGCATTCGAGCACGCCGTAGTGTCAGTCATTCTTTGTGAACAACTTCACTCCCCATCATTCCTTTCTGCCACCAGACACGTCCAAAGTCCATTCGTACCAGCTTCACCACACCAAGGCACTGCTTTCCACATTCCTTGTGCCCGCTGCATCGACCTTTTCCCACTCTCAAAGCTTTTGAGAGCCACCAAAAGCCTAGTTGTTGTAAGCTAAGCTCTCTGCGGGCCGTCGCACGGACACTTCGCTTGGCATTTTGACGAAGAGGATGAGCGTCATGCACGCTGCAAGCGCAGGTGCAAACGAGGTGAATAAGTGGCTCGCGAATGTCATTCCGGTCCCGCCTGCTCGCAACTCACCTGCTCGCCCTTCGACACAGGTTTCAAATGGCTGGTTGACCCACGAGAATACCCGTACCAATCACCTCGGCGACAGCGCGAAGCACTGGCAAGAGCAACACCGTGGCCACAACGCCATCGCACCTCCTGCTGAGTGGGATGGATCTCTTTTCGATGGCCTCATCGATCACAGCGCGAATCAGTCGGATGACACCGTCTCCGTCTCGGACGTGTCCACTCCACCTCTCGATGGACCCAACACTGCTGGCATCCCCCATCCCAAGTCCGAAATGTACTTTGGCGACGGTCCTCAGCCAAACATGGCTCTCTGGCAAGACTCGTACAATGTGCGCCAACCTCAGCACCTCCATCCTCACTGGCAGGGGATGCCTCATCATCCTCACGAAGCTCAAATCAAACGAGAGTACATGTACAGCCAAGAAGGGGCACACATGCATCCTGCCATGCCTCACCACTCGGGCAACGGCTATTTTCCCTCACATGCGCCTCTATTCCAGGGAGCGGGCCCCAACACACCGTCTATGCCGTGGAACTACATGCGCTCAGCATACATGTCGAATCTTGCGAATCACGAGGACTCGTCTCGCGCCATGGAAGTTTGCGGGCCTCAAGCGGACAGCAATGTTCAGACGCGCAGGCGCAGCAACACGATCGTCCAGACGCGTCGTCGAGCCAAGTCGTTGAGCAAGCCAGCGATTCAGCCTTCTCGTCGACCCATCACCTGCCCAACGTGCGGTGAGCGCATCTCTTCTCAACGGAACCTCAAAGCCCACTCTCGCGAGCGACACGAAAAGGTCAGACCCTTTGTCTGCTTGATCTGCATCACTTCCACCAATGGTCGCGCTCATGCTTATAGCCGCAAAGAAGGGGTCAAAAGACACGTCAAGACTTGCCACCCTGGATGCGATCCCGAGCGCAACGTCGGCCAGACGAGAAGCCGAGAACACGTCAACTTGCCCCGCCCTCAACCGCTGATGAAGACTCTTTCCAGCTAAATCTTTCCGCGAGGCCTCTTGTCGCTTGCGACGTGGCGTTTCAAATCCTCCTTGATCAGCCTTGTGCGTAGCACAATGATCTACAAGTCCTGTCTCCACGTAGACAGTCAAGCGACTTCCTTCTCTTCCTCTCGTCCCAAAACATGCTCATTTAATTCGACCCTCTTGACCACTCACTATAGTAAATTCCCTGTCGAGCTATTCTCCACCGACATCTTGAACATCGCGAAGTTACGCTGCTGCCGCGCACAGCGGATACCCTTCCGCCACATGGTACATTTCTCGAAGACGCTCTTCCGTCGTCGCAATCAAGGTGATCGACGCTCGTCGACCTTTCTCAACACACCATTGTGGTTCGTGAAACGCTGTTCATTTGTGTGCATTCATTGTGATTTACATTGCAATCTTTCGTGACGAGTGTGCTCTTTTGTGTCGGCGTAGCAAGCTACAGCCGTCCAAGCTTCGTCTAGGGCAAGTTTGTCACCCAACGGCCATTGACAAGTCTCTGCACCGCCTTGGTGGGCGGCAACTCCCAACCAGGGGCAGAGTTTCTTTCATCGGGCTCGCAAGCCGGTCCAGTGCCGTAAGTGGGCACCACCACGACGTCCCTTTGAACGTCGACGCTTGAGCCATTTGCTGCGTTCAGCCTGGCAGCAGCAGCGATCGTCGCTGCCGTGCCCCCAGACGGCTCTGCAGGTTTTGAGAAGGAGCACAAGGGGCGAGCCAATGTGGAGAGCCACGCCGGGTTGATCCTTGTGCACATCTTTAGCCAGACCTTCTCCTTATTTGACGAGGAGACGTGCATCTCGTCAAAGATGATCCACGGCGGTGGTGCGCCATGAAAAAGTGTCGATGATGGATGAATGAAGCACGCTTGACCAGCTGCTGCTCGCACCAGATACGCAACGCCTCGTGTAGACGTCAGCTTCGCTCCTTTTCGTCGCTGATGAGAGTACTGTCGGCCAGCTTCGGTGCCTTCGTTTGCCAGTGACAGCACGCGAGCTGCAGCTTCTGGCATCAAGTCTGCCCTCACAGCTACTTGATCGACGTATGCAGATACCAGCAGTTGTCGCAAAACTTTGAGCTGCGTCTCTGTAGGCGGCGGAAGCTGCGGATTCGACAGCGACCTGACCTCCGCACTTGGAGCTACGCGTGACTGCACGATCGCGCACAGTTGTGCGCGAAGCTTGTGAATTTCTTCCATCGCCTATTGACGAAAGTCGACTTATTGAGCACGGATTCGGTAGAGCTAGATGCATTTGAAATCACTCACCTTTGACCTGAGGAAGTTTCGCTCGCAGAAGGCTACACCTCCGCGCTCGTACTCATAGGCTCCGACCGCAGCAAGAAGCCTGAAAGTATCACTCGCACCGCCACCAAGCGCACTGAACTTGTTCATCGCAGCAAAAAATAGTTTCCTGCGCTCCTTGCGTCGTTCATCTTCCTTTGCTTGCTCGCTTGTGAGATGCCGCGCTTCCTCAGGCAAGCCATCTAGGTCATCTTTCTCGGCCTTGTCGGTGCTGCCATGTTTATCTGCAGGATCATTGAGGGCTTGCTCACGCATGAATGGGTCTCCTACACTCAACGCAGCTACTAGAGCCACGATGTAAGGGAGACAGCCGTGCTGTTGACCCTGTACTAAAAGCTTTGCAAAGCGAGGTGTGAGGGGAAATAAGCTCATAGCTCGGCCCAAGTCGTTGATCCGAGGCTTCTCTAATGGTCCTGGTCCAGATGCCTTTACCATCTCTAGGGCGCCTAGACGGAGCAAAATCCTTTCAGCTCGACTTAAAGCTCGGCGATTCGGCGGCGTCGGAAAGGGAAAATTGGCGATGGTTTCGATGTGCATGGCGTGCATCTGAAGCACCAAGCCTTCGACGGGCGTTCGCAGGATTTCTGGCAGAGAGAAGGATGAAAAGGTGTCTTCAAAGACCGCGCTCGAGTAGAGGCGATAGCAATGACCGGGGCCCGTACGTCCTGCTCGACCGGCTCTCTGAGCAGCGCTTGCTTTGCTGATCCATCTGACATCGAAGCTTTGCACTCCGGTCGTAGCGTCGTATGACCGTTCTTTCGAACGTCCGCAGTCTACCACGTATGAGACGCCTGGAATGGTCAAAGAAGTCTCAGCGACATTGGTGGCGACTACGCAGAGCCTAGTGCCCTCGGGAGGTGGCTCAAATACCCGCATTTGCTTGTGGGATGGTAAGAGCGAGTACAACGGCAGGATGTGCAACGGGACGTCGGTATCGTCGTGGAGATGCAGAGGCAGGTCGGCTTCTGAAGTGGGGTGCACACCAGATGCTCCGTCATCAGTCTCGAGAGCATCGTCGTCTTCGAATACACCGTCATCGACGTCTGGTGCAAGGTCACCCGCCCCACCCGCTGCCTGGGAGGGGTTAGAGATTCCTAGCTGCATTTCTTCAGCTTCGACATCGCCTTCCTTGGCGTGAAATTTGACGTTGCTTTCCTCAAAGAGATTGTCCTCGTCGTCAGCGCCGTGAGCCGAAGGCTTGAATCGTTCACGGTCCCTTGCACGCTTGTTCCTCCGCTCCTCAATCGCCTTTTTGCCAAAGCGCCTTTCAAGTCTTTGACAGACGGTCACAATTTCTTGCTGACCAGTCAAAAAGACCAGAATACCTCCTGGCGGCAACCTCGCATGGATCTTGATGACCTTTTTGGTAGCTTCTTCCAAGTAGTCGTGTCGCGTTCGTCTGGCAAAATGCACGGTCACAGGATGCTGGCGCGCTTCGACGTTGATGATTGGAGGCGGGGTTGGGAAAAGAACCGTGTTTTCTGCAAAGTCTGCCACGCGCAGGGTGGCGCTCATGATGACCAGTCTTAGAGGCCTGGCATCAGGCTTCTTGTCGATCCAGCGCTGCGCTCTCAACCGGACCACTCGCGAGAGCACTCCAATCAGAACGTCGGTATTCACAGATCGTTCATGCGCTTCATCGATCAGGATCGCGCTATATTTGCTGAGCAAAAAGTCACCGGCTAATTCTCGAAGCAGCACACCGTCTGTCATAAACTTGATGGCAGTGGTGGGCGAGACGGTAGCATCGTAACGGATTTGATGCGAGACTTTGGTGGGCGGCAACGACAACTCGTTGGCAACGCGTGTCGCCATGGACAGCGCAGCGACTCTTCTAGGCTGCGTGACGCCAACCATTCCGGGATGCAGACTATCCCGCGTGCCAAAGCCGAGCTCGTACAGGAATTGGGGCACCTGCGTCGTCTTGCCGCTACCCGTCTCTCCGCACAGCACGGTGACCATGTTTTCCATGATTGTTCGCGTGATCAGGTCCTCCTCCTGCAGTATAGGGAGGTGCCGTCTGCTTTCGTCGATCGATTCGGCACGTTTGACGTCGACGCTTCGAATCGCCACTGTGCTTAAGCTAGACTCCTCCACATACCTTGCCGCGAATGGAGTCAACGGCTCAGACGATGCAGCACCTAAAGGACCTTGGGGCCGCTCATCCTGGTCCATCAGGTCCTTGACCTTTTGCGTGAGCCCCATTATAGGTTCCGGGCCTATGTATGGGCCGTCATTCTGGGCAGGATTGGACAGAGACGCGCCTTCTTCGCCTTTCGCTCGAGGATCTGCGCCCAGCCCGAGAGCTGCGCGAGCCCACTCTTTAAATCCTCTTCGTCTACTTGGCTCTGCAGGTGTCTCTGGCGGCTCGAGTAAAGTGTGGTTGAGAGCTTCCTCTGCCTTTGGATTGGGGACTTCTGAAGAGGCAGACTCCGCTTCGGGCGTCGGATCATCTGAAAATCCCTCCCAAACTGATGCTGAAGAGTCCTCCTCCTCCCCTTCGCCCACATCCCCATCTGCGAGATCAGATGAGTCCTCCTCTGAATCTTCATCGGCATCTTCGCCGAACTCTTCCTTCGAGTCGTGCTCGTCGACCTCGGAAGGTGTTTCGAAGTCGCTGCCAAATACAGTGGCAGGATCCATACCGCGAGCGCGCATGGCCGCAATCAGTGTGCGGTCATCCAAATTGCGCAAGCTTTGATTGCTATCCCTTTGTTCTGCGGTGCTTCCATTTCGAGGAACCGTTTTGAATCTAGCATCGTGGAGGTTCACGGAAGCTTCGTCTCCGATCTCCGCTTCCGAAGCCGAGCTCTCTGAGCTGTCAAATTCGCTGCTTTCGAGTGGAGGGGTCGGCGTCTTGGCTTTGCGCTTCTTTTGTCGCTTTCGCATTGGAGCGTGAGCGATCGGTCGACCATCTGGACCTCGAGCAAGCGCAGAGCCCAGTGAGGTGGGCATCTCGGGCTGACTTGGCCTCGATGGAACCGCTTCGGTTTCCGGGGCAGTTGTCGAGGCGGGACCCTCCTCCACCTTCGGTTTGAAACGATTCGCTGCCTGCATGATACGGGCACGCCGTTCTGGATCGTCCAGCTGCTCTCCTGTAGGTCGATGTATGCTGCCGTCCAGCATAGCATCTTCATCCTCGTCTTCTGGCTCCTCATCGCTTCGATCACCCTCTGCTATTCTTCCCATTTTGATGTCTCTCTTCCTCCTCTTTCTCTCTTGCTTTTCATTGATCCCTTCCAATCTTTCTGCTCCGCTTCTCGCTCGACCCGTACCCAAGGTGGAAGCGGACAAGAAGAGTGAACGATCTCCCACTTCGGCCGAGCTCTCGCTCAGCTTCTTCAAGAGATCATTCTTGCGATCTTTGGCCATACCTTTTGCAATGTACGCTTCCAATCGTTTGCGCTTCTTCGATGACATGCCAGCCGGAGCCGCTCGAGCGATCCTCCTCGCTTCCTCTGCTGCTCGCTGAGCTTCGTAGGCTGCCGGGTTGATCAGCCGCGCGTTGGGATCGAGCATGCCGCCGATCGGTGAGGTCGTACCTTCATGCTGCGCACCTTCGCCTGATCTGCTGCCGTATGCGCTCTTCTTGGAGGCCTTTTTGCCTTTGTGCGTGCGACCGCCAGCGGTGGAGGAGCGGGCTGCTGCATTGTAACGCTCCTTCTTGGGAGCCATGTTGCCTGTGTAGCGGACGCGCCGGGTGAACACTGGCTCTGCTCAGAGTGCAGTCCTCCGAGAGCGACCATGTGTCTAGGAAGAAGAATCGCTTGTGAACAATGAGTGGTGGTGTGTTTCGTTCATCGCAGATGTCGAGGTCGCACTGTACCAGCAAGATGGTGCGACTGCTGCATTCGAGAAGATCTATCAGACCAGCCGGTTCGCATCGCGCGGCAAAAGGCGGTGCTAAATTTTGTCCACTTCGGCTCACGTGACGCGCACCGCAGACGCGGATTTCGCGAGCGAGTCATCGAATCAATCTTTTCTCGATTCCCAGTCTCTTTGCCCCTCTTGATCCATCGACTTGCACCACTCACCATCCGAACTTTCTCGATATAGCTCGAACTCTTGGCACGGCCTCTTCCGCGATTCAGTCGCTGCTGCACCGAGCTTCGAGGTCGACAGCTCCTGCTTCAAGATGGCTCGTACAACACTGCGAGGCAAAGCGCCCCCTCAGCGCAAAAAGACGTCTTCCACGCTTTCCAAGGGCAAGGCGAGCAGCACCGGTCAAGCCAATGCACCATCTGCAGGCTCAAATGCTCGAGGGGCAGTGACTAAAGCTGCCAAGCGAGCCTCGTTTCGCGCCTCATTGATGGCAGGCAAAGCAGAAGAATTTCCAATTCCCAAGAACGTGGGACCTGGTCAAGGAGATACGATTTCGCGCAGTGCGCTTCGAAGGAGAAAGAGGAGAGCGAGGGAAGCTTTGGCTGCTGATGAAGCTGCTGGGAGGAGAGGAGGCGTGCAGGATGTGCAGGATGCGCTAAAGGATGTGGAGGATGAGATAGAGATGGAGGATGAGGCGGCGGAAGAGGAGCAGCAGCAGCAGCAGGTCAAGGGCGTCGGAGCGCCCCAAGCCAGACCTCAACGTGTCAGCGAAAAGATGCGGAAGAGAGTTCTGTGAGTAGGTGGCAGAGAGAAACAAAAGATCGCAGCATTGCTCTCCGTTCATCGTGCGATTGCGTCACTCAGCTGATCTCTGCCATGCCCCCCTCTCATCCCTCGCAATGTCGACCCTGAACAGCATCGAAGAGCAAGCGCGTCAAAAGACAATCACGTCAGATGCTGCATTCCGCGCAAATCCATTCCAAGCGTTGAGAGCGCACGCGCAAACATCGCTGGCTCTAGAACCCAAACGCTAGATTTCCATCGACACTCATCGCAACGACTGCCCGCGATTCGACGCATCTAGACAGTCGAACAATCACAATCTAAATCACGCGGCGACGAGTCAGAGCAGTAAACGGTATCTTTTGGCCATCAGCGAGCGTGGGCATGGAACGGGAAGAGCATGGTATGCGCATACATGGCGAAGAAACGGAAACAAGAGCTAGACACTCGTCTATAGCTCTTCAAGAAGCATGAGACGATTGGGACCCATCATCAGAATGGCCCTTTTCGTGCGCGCCCTTCTTGCCGCCCATGATCTCGCCCCACTTCTTCGTGTGCAGCAGGTGGTGGTGCTCCTTGGCGATGTTCCACTTGGGCTTGGGAGTTCGCACAGGGTAAGACTTGGTACCCTCTGCCCCTCTTCCCTTCTCCTTCTCAACGCGCAGGTCGAATTGCAAATCTCCGCTGTCTTCAAAGTAGTCGACTGCGCACCAATTACGCGCTCCCAGAATGTACTTGTCGTTCTAACATGGTAGCAATAAATACGAAAGGGTCAGCTAGAAGCTGATCGAGCACGCCATACACTTTCACAATCAATGTACTCACTTGCTTCTTGCCTGCAAGGTCCTCCTCGAATAGAGGCACCATCGTCTCCTTTGTGCCACAGTAAAACAAGCTGCGATGCGTCTTCCGACTGAGCTTGTTGAGCATCGAAATGACGGGGGGAGGAGGTGGAGCATTGACGATCGCGCTGGTGATCACAGCGAGAGCGTACTTCGGGTCGAGGGCAGGGTCGTGCGCGTGGTAGCCATGGAATACTCCCACGCCGCACGCGTGCACATCGCCACTGAGATAGGAGGTGCGCAGATGCTTCTCCAACGCCAGCTCCTGTACCCGCTCGACAAGCCAGTTGCGCTCGCGCTTGTGCGGCGCTGCTGTCCAGTGATCTCCCAAATCATCCAACAGCTCTACCTGACCATTGAATTTGTTCGTGAAACCGAGACTGATACCCTTAGCGAGTAGAACCAGGGGATTCAGAGAGCTTGAGAGGGTACGCTCCAAGAACACCATCCGGGGGTATGCCAAGGGAACTCCGAGCAAAATCGTCAGATGCTCCACGCCTGGTGGAAGAGCACGCACAGCATCGAAAAGCTTCTTATAGCTCTGCTCCGAGCATACCTGAGCGACCTTGCGCTCAGCGCGGCAATCCACCAGAAGAATATACTGCTTGGGGCCCAAGTAGCTTAGAATGGAGTGGTGGGGGATCTGCACGTATGCTGCTGGTGCGCCGATGATTACTGATTTGTTGATGTGGTTCTTGTCGTCAAGACCGTCGAGATCAAGTGGGTTGAGGAACTGCTGGAACAAGTAGTAATACTTGAAGCCGATGCGTCCGATCGTGTTGAACACTTCTGCCTGCATCAGGTCGTCCGGGTATGTCCCGAATCCATCGATCAAGTCGTGATCGTCCAGCATGTTGAGCATGGGAATCTGAGCAATGACCTTGCTGAACGTTCCGCCCCCGAACCAGTTGCAGTATGCTGTGAAGTAGAATCTTTCCAGGCAGGTGCGGATCTCATCCGTCAAAGGAATGTTCATGCGCTTCTTGGGATCGCTTTCCTCGTGCCATGCTTTGAGCTCTGGCTCGTTCATGAGCTTGTCAGCATACAGCTGGTCACCCCCTCCCACCACTGTGTGGAAGACGTTCTTTTGATGATGTGCCAAAACATCATCCCAGAGAGGGTTGGCACCATTGAAGGGCGCCTCATCCTTGGCATCAGGAGGCGCCCAATCGCTTGGATCGCAGCCTGAAGAGAAGCCGTTGCATGAGTGCGCAGCCCATCGGAAGTTTTGGAACTTGCCAGGGACGCTGAAATACGAATCATAGGCGGGATCAGCGCATGTGAGGAGGCACGACTTGAAGCGCCCAGAAGGCTGCTCGCCGTTCCTCGGCGACACTCACTAGAATGTGTGAGAGTTGGTGTCGGTCACAGCAGGCACATCAGACTCTGCGTGAGGCACTCCGTCCACAGAGTAAGTCACAGCTTGCTCCACCTCGGCCAAAGGGATTTCAATCTTGAACCTCCAAAAGCTGTAGGAGCCTTCCTGATTGCCAGGTCCCACTCCTTTGTATTGATAGATTCTCTGGCCTTTAGACGTGGCGTGTGCATTGTCGGCAAGAATGGCGGGAGGAGCATCCTGTACTGCAGGTCCCTTGGAGGGAGCAGTGCGGTGCTGTAAAGTGGGTGGCGCTTCGGGTGATACATTGCTCTCCTCGTCCTTGGTCACCACAAGCGCGAAAGCATGGTAAATGCCATTAGCGACAGTGTCGTACTTGAGCATAGGCCCACATTTCACATTCAGGGTAGGCATCCTCGCCACACGGGTGTTGTCGATGTGAGGTGGGAACAAGCGTCTTGAGGTGCTGAGCGGCGCAGCGGATTGGACGAACAGACTTTATGAGCCAACCTACAATCGTTAATTAGATTGAAACAGAAAGAGGTAGTGTTGTACGAGGAGGGGATGAGCAGGAGTGTCACGAGGAGCATAGATGAAGGAAGCTGGGGTCCTTGATCACGGATTTGCCAAAGATACATATACGTGGAGCGTCTTGGCCTGGCGCGATCGGTGGAATTGACCGGACAGATGCGTCGTGATGTCTACGATACACGATGCTCAGAATGCGGTCGTGGGTCAATGCTGCACCGAGCACCGAGCACCGAGCAGCGTGCAGCAGTGCCCGAGCTCTTGCCTCCACAGCATCGGGTCTGCCAAGGAAGGCAGCAGCAGCAGCAGCGGCACGGCAATTTAGCTCGCTGTTGCCAAGGTAGAGAGAGGCTTTTTTGTCTGCTTCCGTCCTCGTCTCCCTCCTCCTCCTCCTCCTCCTGCTGTGATGTCTACAGCACAAATACTGTACCGGTACAGTATAGCTGCGCCGATGCACTTCGCATCAGCAGCTTGACGCATCGTACAGCCACACCTTCTTGATCCGTGTGATTCGATCGTGCTACTCACGACTGTGCAATTTTCAATTCGTCGAGACGCGTACGTGCGTGCATGATGTGCCGCCCCTGCGGAAAGTCCTGCTGCCTGATTTCAAAGCGCACGCTTGCGGAAAATTGTCCTGCGATTGGCTAGGTGCTGCTGCTCCTGCTGCTGCTGCTGCTCCTGCTGCTGCTGCTGCTCCTGCTGCTGCTGATGCGTGGCCGGATGGGTGCTGCATGCCTGCACGACCGCATGCCCTCCGCTGCTCAACTCTACTCCTAGCGCCTAGCACGCGGCTCGTATGTATTCGCGGCGAAGCGCCCGCGCTGCAGCTCAGAGTTCCCCGTACGGGACGATGTTCCTGAAGCGGTGAACTAGCTGCAGCTGCGTGTTGCCCACGCTCTGCGCAGCTCCCATCGCCTCGACCGTGATGGAAGCCGACCTCGCTGTCCGCCTAAATAAGATGGGGACATGAACCTCGGGCCCACCAGATCAGAACGTTCTCGAGTCCGGCTACCCATCACAAGCTGGTGCATATTGTTCGCGTGCGAGAACTTATGCAATCGCGAATTCGTGAGTGCATGGACCCTGAACAGACATCACACCGTGCATTGCATGGGCGCAACCAATGGGAATGATCCGCATCTCGGCGTGCGAGCAGTCATTTAAATACCTACCGGTAGAGCTTTTTGCCCCGCACGCGATGCAAGCTTTGCTCAGCAGGTCCCTCCCGCACAAAGACGGAGCATGCTAATGCTGCGCTTGGCCCTCTTCCTGCGTCTACTGTATAAGCCTTCGAAGATACCCCCGCGCGTATCGTGTATAGCTACTCACACTGTAGGCCGCCGACGATGCCGCAAATGAGTGAAGCGCACTTTGACTTGCTGAGCTTGTCAATTGCTTGTGATGTCCTCTCACGCCAGCCGGGTCTCATCATGCCATGCAAGGGGAAGCACGCGGCTGTGAACAGGCAGACGGTCAGCATCAAGAGAGTGTGCGATACACGTACTGCCGACTGTCTACATCAGTAGCAAGTCACCGCAAGCGTTGTAAGGATTACAACTCGAGGAAAGACAGCTCGAGAGCTTCGATGGTGTGATCGAGTGCTCACCAGCAGCAGCGGGCCTTGAGCATTACAGTCCTACTGCAAACAACATAAAGCGTCCTTGAACCTCGTCGCACCAGCCCGCCACACACATCGTAGACTCGGCACAGTAGCAGCCACAGAGCCTTCGTGTTCGACGTGTAATCGCTAGGCGGCAATTCAAGTAAGCGCGCTTGACACAGGCAAGGACGTGCGCCATTCATTTCAATTCCAGCAGGGTTCTTCTTTTCCAGCCAGCCGATGAATTCAAGATTCGTCATTTCGAGTGCCTTGTCCTGTCCTGATTGGCGAGTCACCTAATCTTGAAATGTAGGCTGCAGCATGCACTCAGACTAGAATTTGTTCCTGACTACGACCGACTGGGCATCTTGACGAGCAACCGCATTACGCACGCTTGATTCGCTATCGCCGGCCCTGTCTCATTTCGATGCCCTCCGCCCTCGAACGGCGCCCCAGCAATCCGGTGATTAGGTCGGGCAACAGTTCGCGTCTCGAGCATAGCCAAGCAGCACATCCATCAAGCGCATCTCGCAGGGACAGCGAAGAGAGCTGGTCATCGTCTCGCGATTCACAGGACGCTCTCCTCCACGCAGATTCCGCTTCATACACGGGCGATTCTATACCAATGTCACAGTTCGGTACTGGCTTAGGCTTTACGCCAAGGAGCGAACTAGCGCCGGACAGGGATGCATTGAGAGATGTGGTGAATGCCAACCACGCTGCGGCTGCAGAAGAAGGAGACGTCAGAAAGCCCAAGTCGATCGCATCTACCGACGAAGCCTTTCATGAGGTCAGAAGAGTCCGATCGACCGGTCATGTGGGCGACAGCATAGAGGGGCTCAAAGCTTCAGACCTCTTCGACGAGACGAAGACGGCCAAAGAGAACAAGAGCTTGCTCATGTCTTACGAGGTGAGTATGGAGTAGTGGTCCTGCCCGCTTCGCGATCAAGCCAGTCTCTAAAATCAGCCCCTCTGTACACTGTTCAGCTCGAACGCATGGGATTCGGCCGCTATCAACTCTTCGTCTTTCTGCTGTGCGGCCTGGGATTCTTCACGGATCTCCTTTTCGCACAGGCCTTTGGTCTCATTTCTGTCCCTCTCGAGAGCGAGCCAGACTTTGGCACAGTCGACGACAGCAACATTGGCACGCTGTTTACCGCTTTCAACGTCGGGCTCACAGTCGGAGCCTTCTCGTGGGGAATCCTGGTCGATGTAGTGGGCAGGAAGTGGAGTTTCTACTGCACATGTCTACTCGCTTCCATCTTTGGACTCGCTGCTGGAGGCTCGCCGAACTTCACAGCGCTGAGGGTCCTGGTCGCTTTCTCAGGCCTTGGTGTTGGCGGCAACATTCCTATTGATGCTACGATCACCCTTGAATTCTTGCCCACCAAGAACCGATGGCTGCTGGCGTTGCTGTCTTTGTTTCAACCCATCGGCGTCTTGGTAGCATCTGGCATTGCCTATGGCTTTGTGCCCAACTACTCTTGCGGCGATGGCGCAACTGCGGTATCAGAGACAGTCTGCAGGTCAGCTGACAATCGGGGTTGGAGGTATACGTTGTTCACGGTAGGGGGCATCACCCTCGGCGTCTTTCTTCTGCGCTTTCTTCTCTTCACTTTCCGCGAGTCGCCAGCCTATTTGGTCAATCTGGGCAAAGATCGCGAAGCGATCGAGGTTGTCAAGGCTATCGCCAAGGTTAACAAGGCAGACGCACCCGCATTCACGATGGAGGACTTTAATGAAATCGACAGAAGGTGTGGAAATACGATTGGCGAGGATCAAGTCAAGGTCGGAGTGGGAAGGCGTGGCGAGGTCTTTGCGGAGTCGTCAAAACACGCTATGAGGCAACTCACCAACGTCAAAGTCCTGTTCCAGAACCGCAAGATGGCGCGTCTGACAATTTTGCTTTGGATCACTTTCATATGGTGAGATTTCCTCCTCGCGCTGTCACACGAAATGCCGTCCATCTGACCAATGTGCCTCTCGTCGCCTTCGTCAACACAGCGATTTCTTTGCGTTTAACATCGCTGGCGCATACCTGCCTCTGATCTTGTCCGATAGGAACATCGCTCAAGGCAAAACGCTAGCAGAGACGTACCGTTCGTACGTGGCAATTTATGCCCCGGGCATCGGGGCGTGCATTCTAGCTGCTGCCTTGATCGAGCTGCCTCGCCTAGGCAGGCAGTGGTCGATGGTGTTCTTTTCAGCATTGATGGGTGTATCGATGTTCATCTACACGCGAGTAGAGACCGAAGCGGCCTCTGTCGGATTGAATGCGCTCGAGTACATTGCCCAGAGCGCTTTCAACGCCATCTTGTACGCCTACTTGCCAGAGGTGTACCCATCGAGCGTCAGGGGCACTGCGAGCGGAGTGGCCTCCACTCTGGGACGTATTTCCGGCATTGTCGCTCCCTTGATAGCTGGACCCCTCTACTCTGCTGGACCTGACAAAGCTCAAAATGCTGCGCATGTGGTGAGTGTGGTATGAGTGCGACGACGCTGTCCACGAGTCTGCACTGACAGGCCTTTTGTACCCCCCACGTCTCGCTCTGTGCGCAGCTGTATTTAGGAGGAGGGGTGGCGTTCGCAGCTACGATTGCTCTCATCTTCCTTCCCTTTGACAACAAGGGAAGGCGTGTACACTAGTCTACTCTTGCATTATGGCGCGCAACGCTTCTCTTCTGCTACTTATCCTGCTCTATGCCCCGGCGTTGCTTTGATCAGGTCAAAACAATATATAGACTCAATCTCTGCTGTGTGCTGTAGTGCCTTGTGACTGCGTGACCACGGCTTCGCTGTTTCAGTGGGAATGCTTGACACCCGCGCATTTGTGTCTAGGTCTCCGCCAACGCTTTCAGTGACTTTCCAAGTCAATCTGTTCCAGCGCCTCCAAAGCTCAAATCCTCAGGTTTGTGCGCTCGTCTTGGATTCGTGAACTCAGGGGGGTTAGCGTGGCGTGCGGAAACGACGGGTAGAGGAGCACTCGGATTGCACACCAATGGAGTCCTCGATGCGCGAGGACACTGATCGAAAGTTGAGGCTACGTAAATGTCGTGGTATCAAAGCGGAAATCTGCTCAGAGCCTGAAGCTTGCAACTCGTGCGCGGAGTCGTGGTCGTGGTCGTCATCGCTCATTAGGCACGTAGGCGGTGAATGCTGCCATAGTGAAACCCATCCCAAAGTGGAGACGCGTCCCTGCGTGAGGTCTCGCGATGACCGACAATCTGAATGAATGGCGAGGCACCAAGTTCAGCATGTTAGCGCTGTTTTGGGGTCTTGAATTTCATTCAGCACGCGCGGCTAGCTTCGATGACCGATGGCCGAGCTGGATTGCCCGGTTCAATGCTCCGACCGACGCCCGATTCCCGTGCGCCTACATTCGGAGCGGGCACCGCTCGCTGTTCTCTCCTCGGTCGGACCTGCTTGACCAACTCATGACTCTGGGGGCTTATGTAGCGATAAGGGGTTGCATGGGGCCACGGTGGCTGCAACTTATTGTGATTCACATTATTCCTGACCCTTCAAGATGGCAGAGCGAGACTCGTTTGGCTGATGATAATCAATCACATTCGTCCGCTGAGGTGGGTCGATGCACGGAACCCGGGCCAGAGATTCGGCGCACCGTGCCCCCGCGCCGCCGATCTTTGCAAATGCGAAACACGCAGCCATACGTCATGTCACGACTGTGGCTGACTGACTCACGACTGCTGATGCTTTTACCCACAGCTGCTGCTGGCCCTTCTCTGCGTGCAGCAGCCCAGAGCTTCGAGAGATTGTCTTTAATCGATGCTTCCCTCGCCACACAACAAGTGCTGTACCGTACCACCTAAGCATTCATTCTGATTCACTTCGTGAGTCAGCCGCTCGCCGGACTTCGTGCTCGAGCTTTGCAGCACCCCGCAAAAGTTGCCTTCCTAATCGGTAGTCGCTGGCCAATCACGCCAAACCAGTCGCGAAGCCGGGAGACTCGTTGGACTAACAACTTCCCCGCAATCACGAATCTAGTGCATGCATGCACGCACGCATGTGTAGGCCTTGCGTCTCCTCCTCCTCCCGTCAGACGTGTGCATCTTCCCATGCATAACAGCTTGGCCTACTCACCTCTCTTCAACTACAGCATTCATCAGCAGATGAGCGTTTGCCCAATCATTACCCCATCACCCCTGCAAGACTTGTCTGCACGAAGCCCTCGTTGTAGCATCATCGAGCAAGGATCGCACGACATTCTTCTCAAACACTTTTAGGGCCTCGAGGAAGAAGAACAGAACTTGCGCAAGCGATATCCACTCAGACGAGACGAGGAAGCAGCAAGATGGTTCACATTCCAGATGCAAATGCTCAGCCGCCCGAGTATCACAATGTGCTCATCATCGGAGCTGGTGTGACCGGCTTGGCGATGGGCGCGCAGCTCAGAATGATGCTGGGCGAGACGGACGTCAGGATCATTGAGAGGTCCAAAGGCATCGGAGGCACTTGGGTAAGTGGCATTGTCTGCCTCGGTGCGAGCGTCGATGGCTGGCTAGGTCCCCGCACCTCGGCCAATCGTAGTTGGGCCGAGAAGAGCGACGAGTGACTGACTGACTCGATCCTCTGACTGTTGCCTGATCACCGCAGGAACAAAACACCTATCCAGGTGCAGGATGCGACATTCCCATCGTGCTGTACAGCTTCAGCTTTGCTCAAAAGAAGGACTGGCCCGAGTTTTGGCCACCTCAACACGTCATCAGAGATTACCTGGAAAAGGTCTCGGATCGATTTGATCTCACGAGAAGGACGGTGGTGAACACTGAGGTATCCAGCGCTCATTGGGACGACGAGCTGGGCATGTGGCACGTGTACACCAGACCTGCTAAAGGCCAAGACACGCAAGGAGGAGAGGACAAGCACTGGATCTGCAGAGTTTTGATCTCGGGCGTCGGAGGTCTCTCTCAGCGTGAGTAGTGTTGAGTGCCGGTGGCGCAGTAGTTGCTCAGACGCTTGGTGCTGATCTCCCGACATTGCAACGTTAGCCAACCCTTGCAACATTCCCGGCCATGAAAAGTTCCAGGGCCCGCTCTTCCACAGCGCGCGATGGGATCACAGCGTGCAAACCAAGGACAAGCACGTCGTCGTCGTCGGCAATGGCTGCAGCGCCACGCAATTCATTCCCATGTTGGCGAACGACGGCGCCAAGAGCATCACGCAAGCTGTTCGATCCAAGCATTGGTACGCTAAGCGACCAAATGACCCCACAGACTCGGCCGTGATGAAGTGGCTCCTGCGAAATGTGCCTGGTTTCTACCTGCTGGTCCGAGCAATCGTGCACATCGTGCTCGAATTGTCCAGTGTGAGTAAGCGCTTACCAGGCTGGGTCCGGCATTGAACCTCTCCTCACCTGGTCCTCTATCTCGCGATCACACCCTCTAGATCATGATGTATCGCCACTGGGCTGGCACTCAAGCCCGCGAGCGTTTTGCTCGCAACTGCATCAGCTACATCAAACAGGCCGCTCCAACCAAGGTGAGCAGCATGGCCTGCTGCCATTTTATGTGTAAAGGTTGCTAGCATGTTAACCAAGACTTGTCTCTTTCAGTACCACGACATCCTTGTGCCTCAACCGGAGAAAGACGGGTTGCACCCAGGCTGCAAGCGTAGAGTGTTCGACACTGATTACCTTCCAACACTCCATCGGGACAATGTCGAGCTGGAGAGCTCTCCTTTGGTGGAGATCAAGGAAAACAGCGTGCTCACAAAGGACGGTCGTGAGCTGCCGGCTGACGTGATTGTGCTCGCGAACGGCTTTGCGGTGAGTGGTGCTGATCGAAGTGCGGTCCCACACGTCCAGTCGACTGACTTGACAGTCTTTCTCGCTGCTGTTCAGGTCACCAACATGGGGTTCCCCATGAAGATCTATGGCAAGACCGGCAAGACTGTTCAAGACTATTGGGCCGAGGCAGGCGGTCCAGGTTGCTATAGAGGATCGATGATGTCCGAATTCCCCAATTTTGCGCTGGCCATGGGTCCCAACACAGGCACTGGTCACTTTAGCTACATCTTCACGTCTGAATGCTCCACGCGCTTTGCTATCGAAATCTTCAAGCCGATTATTCAAGCGCCGAGGCCTACCGTCTTCAACGCCAAGGCGCCAGGTGCAAAGAAGCAGCCTTCCGTTTGCGTTCGACCCGAGAAGGAGGAGCAAGAGCAGTGCTGGATTCAAAAGCAATCGAGGAGCATGGTGTACACCTTTGACTGCGGCAGCTGGTACGTCGACAAGGAGTCTGGACGCGTAGCGGCGGTGTACCCGCAGACCCAGACGCAATTCTGGATCAGAGCTTCCAACCCGATCTATAGCGACTTTGATTACAAGGGCGTCAAGGCGCCCAGGACTTGGTTCACAGGCATCCGAGAGACGATTGGCTGGGGAGGTATTCCCAAGCAGACGCCAGAAGATCTCAAAAAGTTCAGAAGCGGCGAGTGGGCGGTAGGCAAGCCCAAGGGCAAGGAGATCTAGCGCAATCGCCGTGCGAAGATCGTCTCGACCGCACACTCTGCTTCCTCGTCCTCTGACCACATCTGCTCGCCCCAACGAATCGCCGCGGATCTATGCACTTGGGCACGAGTGGTGTGGCATTCATACACGGCTTTGACATGTAATGACTCCTGAGTCTCGTCAAACGATTTGCATCGCGTTTTGTTATTTACGGTGCGACTGATGTGAGGCACAAGAGTGCTCTCTGTGCCCTCCAGCATACAATGGCAGGAATGAAAGGAAAGAGCCAAGCTGATGACGGGGGCGCCAAATTCGAAAGACGTAGAGAAGGTTGCCCAATGAGTAAAGCCACGTGGCCGCTTCCATTCACGACTTCGGCAACACAGCCGGGCACATGAGCAGCAAAGCAGTCACCACCAGTGTAGCGCGTCGAAACGCGCATGACGCGTGGCGAGTCCAACAGCGCGGATGTGCGCGCTGATTGATCTACGCATCTTTATGAGCGCGCCGGCACGCGTCGAGGACACGCGTCGCTCCAGCACGCATGGGGGCAGTGTGGGTGGGAGGAGTGCATGCACTGACGACTTTTGCTAACTCACACGCTCGTGCGCGCGCGCGAGGATCATGACGCCTTGAACACCAGACGGACCTTTGAGCTCTGAACACCGAGCAGGTCGCTTTGAGGTACCGCCTTCACGATTGCACTCACTCAACGCTCGTGATCTAGGCTTTACGACGCTTTGCGGTACGCGATCGCTTGCCGCATCTCCGACAATTGGACAATCCGGAGCTTTGGATGGGCGGCACGGGCTGTTCTCTGCCTCACAATCTCCCAACGTTCTCCTTTGACTGCCTTCTTTTGCACACTGGCACCCAAAGAATTGCGGAACAGACAGTGTAGGGACGGCTGGAATTGGCAAAGCAGCGACAGACGCTCATATCCAGTCATCGAGCCGCTTTCAAAGCGGTCAAGGTCAAGATGCGAGCAATGTATCCAGCACCCGCTGGGCGTGCGAGCGGCACGGCCTCCGCAACGTCTGGCTACCCTCAACCACGACAGAACCATACATCGACTTTTCCTGGCAATCCCGCGTCCACAGCTACAAGTTTTGCTGCTCCAGGCGCAGTCTATGCTCCTTCTGGTCCTTACCTCTCTACAAATACTGCCTACACTTCCGGACCATCATCTGCATCTGCTTCGCACGCTGCGCCTCCGCCCGCGCGTACTCCCTCGCCCTCTGCTCGCTCCACCCAACAGCTCCCGCCGAGCGGAAGCCAAGCGGCCCCTCCTTCAGCTACTTCTAGCGCTCCAACAGCAAGCGGAGCGCTTTCGCCAGATAGAGCTCCGCCCACAGTGTACTTGGCGACGTACAGCGGCGTGCCCGTCTACGAACTGACCGTGCGCGGCATTGCTTGTATGCGTAGAAGGGCAGATGGTTTCCTCAATGCGACGCAGATCTTGAAGGTCGCAGGTGTGGAAAAGGCAAAGAGAACAAAGGTGCTTGAGCGCGAGATCTTGACTGGAGAGCACGAGAAGATTCAGGGTGGATATGGCAAGTATCAGGGCACATGGTGAGTCCCCTTCGTAAGCGCGCAGTGCTTCCATCGAGTTGCTCGTTGCTGATTGCGAGTCGTGCTCGCTCAGGATTCCGCTCGCTCGTGCCCACACGCTGAGTGCGGCATACAATGTCACTCACCTATTGCAACCCATCTTGGAGCTTGACCCTTCGGCCAACGTGCCTGTGGCAGGTCGCAGGAAGAGGCCGAACCCCAACGCGCCTGCCGCTAGCATGTACCATCGATTGGGACCTGGTGCAGCTGGCAAGAACACCGCAAAGGAGGAGTCGAGTGGAGGTACGCCTGGCTCTGCTGGGTCGCCCGCTGCAGCTGGCTCAAGTCTTGGTTCCGCACCAAGTCAGGCTCCACGTTTTCTCAGCTTGCGTCCACCTGCGCCTGGGGATGCTTCCATTGGTGATGTGAGCCCCACCGCTGCTGCCGCGTCATCGGGCATCCCGGCAGGCACCGATGCTCGAGGTCGCACTGCTTTGGAAGGGTACGCTGCCCACGGCTACACCCCAGCTGGCATTGCTGTGCCTGTTCCAGCGAAGGAGGCGACTGCTCAGTCGATCGGCGAGCCAAGCTATGCGTCCAACAAGCGTGGTCCACCTTCCCCAGAGACGTCTCCTTCCAGGACGCAAAGTGCCAAGCGATCCAAGGGCGATCAGAATGGCTTCGAGGACTCTCCGGCGGCTCAAGGGCTTTCGCCAGTCAAGGACCTGAATCTGCTGGGGCGATTGTCGCCCTCTGCTTCCCTACGTGGTGCCAGGCCGGTCAACGCTTCACGCATGCGCGCCGGTCCTCCGGATGCCCAAGGTCTAGGACCGGGGGCCAGATTCGCTACTCGACCGGCACCCGTCGTCGAGTCCGAGCCGGAGCGAAAAGCGCGCGAAATCCTGACGGCTCAATTCATTGATAGCACGGCTCCTCCTTCCGGGCCAGATGCTCTCGAATCTGTTCTGGGTGCGCTGCCGGATGGATCGGCTGACACTGTCATCGACGATCACGGTCACACTGCTTTGCATTGGGCTGCAGCGCTTGCACGCCTCCCATTGGTCAACATGCTGCTGTCTCTTCCGCCTCCGCGAGGCGCCGACCCTCACATTGGTAATCACGCAGGGGAGACTGCCTTACACCGCGCGGTGCTCGTCACAAATGCCTACGACGGGTCCGCTTTCCCGGCCTTGCTGGCAGCGCTGAGCGCGAGTCTGCACACGCGCGACTTCAAGCGGCGTACTCTGATCCATCATATTGCTTTGGTGTCGGCCTTGAAAGGCAGAGCTGCTCCGGCGCGGTATTATCTTGCTTGCGTGCTGGAGCACATCGCCAAGCACGAAGGCGGTAAGCATGCTGCCCTGGTCGACGCGCAAGACGAGGAGGGGGAGACCGCTTTGGGCATCGTTGCGAGGATAGGAAATGCTGGCATGTGCAAGATGCTGCTCGATGTTGGCGCGCGCAAAGATATTGCCAACAATCTTGGTCTCAGACCCAAAGATTGGGGCCTTGACGAGCCGGCGTCGACCGCCAATTCCACGCCTGGACGCGTGGAAGACAGCGGACACTGGGAGAGCAGTGGCAAGGATCGGATTAGCGATGCTGTGCAAGCTCTCAAACAACCTCCTGCAGGACCAATACAGAAGAGCGCAGACGTTCAGCAAAGTGAGTCGACAGGCATTGTCTTTGGCGCAGATTTGATCAAGTGCTGATCTAGAATACATGCCTTCGACAGGGATTGCTGAAGTGGTCAAGGATCTTGACGAGCTTCACGCTCGAGAATTGAGCGAAAAGAATTCGGCGCTTGCAGTCGCTCAAGCCCATCTGCAAGCCGCAACTCGCGAGCTGGCGTCCAGAAGACGTAAGGTCACTGAGGCAGCGCGGAATGCGGCGACGCGCGAAGAAACTCGAATGAGAACGACAAATTTGTGGCGAATGCTTTACGAAGTCTTGGCCTGGGATGTACCGGAAGGGACTAGCCGCGCCGAGGATTTGGCGTTCCAGCCTGGCAGCGTCGACGATGCGGACCCCAGAGCTGCCGAGAAACGAGAGCTTGTGGCTGTAGAGAGCCTGGAAAGCTCGGACATGGTCATTGAAGGAGGTCTTGCCGCGCAGACACCTTTTCCTGGAGCGCCGTTGGGAGAAGCGGATGAATTGATCAGGCTCAGGTGGCTCGAGCGAAGCTTCAAGGAGGAGACGGATCGTCTGCAGCAAAGAATCGTAGCGCTGAGCGGAGCTGGAGCTGCGAAGCAGAGACAATGTCGCAAGGTAGTGGCAGAGTGCTGCAACGTGCCCGAGGAGAAGGTAGAAGGGGTGAGTAGCACGCTGACAATTTCGATCGTGCGACTTTCGCAAGCTGATTTGGACGGCTGTGCTTCATCTCTAGATGCTGGATGACCTGGTCACTGCTATCGAGAGCGACCGGATGGGCGTAGACTTGGCCCGTCTGGCTGGGTTTCTGGAAAAGATCAAAAAGAGCGGGAACAAAGAAGGTGAAGCCCCGACAATGGCGAAGCATTGAACGTTCTCTCAACATTTGTCCAAGAAGTATCGTGCGCTCCATGCCTTGTTCCTTTGAGGATACATCGCTCAAGTCGTATGTTCGCTTTCTTCCTGCCGTCACGTTCGGTCCCCTAGGAGTGCGTGTCTACCTGTACGATATCTGTTCAATCGACTTTGTTGGCCTCGTGCTCGTCTGTTGCTGGCCATGCACCGTCTTTCGTGATCTTGTTCAAGGCGAGAGCGAAAGGCGGCAGGCGGTGGTGCTGATGATGTGCAAGATGAGCATCACAGGATGAGCCGGTCCTCATGAGAACGGGGATACACCAGAAAGGTGCACGAGTGACGCTCTTTTGGTGCCTTGACGATCAATGTTTGAATTGTGGTCCTTGTGCTCATCTCGCTACGGTCATCCCGACTGAGTGCACTTGTGATGGAGGCAGTCGTCTATGAGGTAAGAGCTGGCATAGTCTCTTGTCCAGACTCGTGTTTGTCAAAGACAGAAAGAAGTACATGCTGTGCTGTGTGTCTACGAGGCAGGCATCCAGTGCTTTTCCCGTGGTATGGCCGTAGATATTGTGACACGTGTGTTGCACGTATATATACTATGACTTCCTACCAAGGAGATGGATGATCTTCACATGTTTAGTTGCACAGCCAGCGGAGTGAAAGGGAGGCTGTTGTTGGTGCTGCTCATCCATGTTCTTGGGCGGCGGACAGTCTTGTGCAGCTTGCTGCGTTTGCCTGTCTGCTACGCCCGGCGCAGCTCGACGCCTCGCTGCACACATCGCAAAGTAACAATACTCGGCCAGCTGAAATATACATTGTGCAAGTAATCTACATGGAGATGGGGCTGTCGCTGCGGCGCATATCGTAGTGCTCCGGCGAATCGCTTCTGTGACCGCCATACGTGATGGAGGACGGGTCAGGCAACGAGGCGGGCGGTGCATCACTCGAGGCGAGCTGCTGTGGTAGAGTGCTCTCTCGTGCGCTTTCCGGCATCCTCTTACTTCCTTCGAGATCATCGGCCTTGGCAGCCTTCAACTGCGCGACCTCGGCGCGAAGCGAATCCATTTCGGCGAGCGATTCCGACATGGTGGACGACACCGCAAAGATCTGATGCAAAAGGTCTGGGATGTGCGGATTTGAACCACGTCAGCACATGCCATGCAACATCACCAAACGTCTGCTCCGCTCTCACCTTCGATCGACATCATTTCAATCCACTGTCGCACGGCGATTTCCAATCCAGGCTCGGAGCTTTCTTGAGCAGCCTGCAGGATCTCCTGCTCGTCCGCCTTGCTGATCTTTGTAGTGTGGCGCGGATCCAGCGTCCGCTGGCGTCTCAAGCGATGCTCTACGCGAGCCATAGCTGGAAGATGACGGATAGCGTGTGCGATTTGCGCTCGCTGTGTGTGCATCATGGCAAAGCCGTGTTTGTGAAAGGACAAGGCGTGACGCGCAAAGTGCACAGGAAGCTCGTGAGGTGCAAGAGAGGCAGCCATCGCCTTTGGTTCGAGCGAATTGGAATCTCCAATTGTTTCCCTTGGCGCAGCATCTCCGTCACCGGAGTCGACTCCCTCTGCAGAGCCCAGAAATGCCGCGCTTTGAGTAGGTAACAAGGACACGGAACGTCTCGGTGACTCCATGCGCCATGTCGAATCTCGAGTCAAGGCGCGCCTCAAGAAGCCTCCGCCTCTGTACCTGCTCGGAGAAGCCTGGACCAAGTCAGAATTGAGGGTCGTTCGTGTTGCGACTGGCGTCAAGGCCTCCATTCCAACACTTTCTGTGGCAGTTGCATTGTCTGCAGGATTTTTGTAAGCAGACTCGTCGATGCTCATTTTCTTCTCGAGGGTGACTTCTTGAGCGTCATTCTCCGCAGCGGCCGCCGAAGGGCTGCCGGGCACAGCCGTCTTTACGTCGCCGACACCACGCGTCGCTGTTTCGCCCTCTGCACACGCCTCGTTCGCATCTGTGGGCTTCCTTCCGCGAAGATGAAGCGAGCTGCGAATGGCTGCCGAGATTCGCGCTCCAGCACGACGAGTCTTCCGCTTGCCGCTATTTTTAGCAGCCATGCTAGCCCAGGCATCGGACATGACGGCAAACAAGATGGACAGCACTCCGACTCCGAGCAAGCTCCAGCAGATGAAGAACGCTTTGCCCGCCGGCGTGCTGACAGAGAAATCTCCGTAGCCCACGGTCGAAGCAGCGACGAGGGCAAAGTACAGCGCTTGGAAAAAGGTGAAGCCTTCCGTGGCGGAGAAGACTGCGGCTCCAACAAGCCAGAAAGCCAGAAAGAGCAGAAAACTACCAGCGAGCTTGAGCCAGAATTGGCGCTGCTCCGATGCGTCGAGTTGCTGACGAAATGATTTCCAGGATTTGTCCAGCACTTGCCTCTGCGTGGTCAGCGCAGCTTCCATTTGGGCCATCTCTTGTGCCAAGCTGCTGAGTGCCGGCACAGGCGACGGCGACGGCTCGGCCGTCACTACTCCACCATCGTCTCCATCCGCTGGTCTCACATCTGTCGAGGCTCCACACGCAACAGGGACCGTCGGCGAGCTCTCTTCCCTCGTCTCGATACCCTGCAACGGCGTGACACCAGCGGGCGGAGAAGCTCGAATTGCGTCGTGCTTGGCTGCTTCCAACTTGCTTCCAACTTGGCCACGCTTTGCGCCGATGGAGAAACTACGGTGTGGGCTACCGCCACCGCCACGCAGCCATTCTGACACATCCCGAATTCGGGCAATCTGGGTGGGCGATCGCTCTGGGTCTTCTGCGCCCGGGGAGAAATCCAAGTATTCGTGCGTGCCAGTCGGGCCCAAGCTTTGTGCGGTAGTGAGTTCTGCCACTCCGTTGCGGAGGTGCTTGAGACTCGCGTCCTCTGGATGCAGGGCGTCGGCGCCGTTGTTTGCTTTGCTGGCGCTGCCTGCCACGGCGGCTCCGCCCCGCCCGAAGCTGTTGCGAACGGCTCGAGTGAGTCTTCGATTATGTCTGCGAGCCTCAGATCGCTCCTTTAGCCGCTGTCTGAACAGGGCTCGTCGTTTCTTGTAGCTGTTTTGGGTGCCCGAAAGTGAGCGAAGCTGTTGACAGCATACAAAGAGGCAATCTGACGGCACCCACCTCAGCTCAAACTCCTCTAAGATCGACTCGCGTGCTGTTGCAATCACGAGACCCAGCAGGACTATTCCAGGAGGCATCAAAAAGAGGAAAAGGATTCTCATAGCGACGTCATTAGGTGCAATGTCGCCAAAACCAATGGAGAGAAACTGTTACGGCATACAGCCCGTGTCAGCAAAAGGTCAAGCTACGAATTTTGTGCGGCAGACTGACAGTGACGATGGTAAAGTAGACGCTGTCCAGGAAGTTGAGGCTTGGCGAGTGCAAGAGTGCAAAGATTAGTGCGGAGAGGGAAAGATATACCAAAAAGGACATGATGACGAGGACGAGCTTGGTTTGCTTGGGCGTGAGGCCGCTTCCTGCATGTTGAAACCTCTTGGTGGATGCAAAGTCCCAAATGAGGCTGACTGTGCAGAGCATAGAGACCGCAGTAGCGGCAGCAGTCATCCAGTAGGATTCCGAATAGGTAAAACCATCGTCAACGGCATGCACCACACCAAAGATGATGAGCGCCACACAATTGACAATGTCGTGCAAACAAAAGCCTAGAATAGCGATGAGGGTTGATGTTCGAGGAGACAGCCTCTCGGTGAAGCGCGCAATGATGCAAAAGTTGGCTACCACGGCACAGGCAAGAGAGATGGCGAGTCCTACGTCCAGAATGATGGGATTGTTGCGATAGGCGATGGGTCTGTTGTCCGGACCGGTGCGAACATACCATCGAGAAGTGATGCCTGGAATCTCGAGCATGATGCTGAAAGGCGCAATGGTCCCGCTGACCACTGGTGTTCTACGATAGATTCGAACTTGACGAGCTTCCTTCTCCATCTCTTCATCCGAAGACAGCTCCGCTTCTGCTTCCGCCTCCTCTTTGGCGCGATGCCGTCGAAGCACGCGCAAGGGAGCGAAGCGCCCACGATAGTCTCGACCCGCACCCGACGTTCCCTCCGTGTCGGCATCGGTTGCGGTTGTTGCAGTCATGATAGAGCTCGCGTCCCAATCATCACCATCTTCTGTCTGCCGCGTCGAGCCTGATGCCTGATCGGGCCAAATGGCAGTGCTTTGTTCCGGTCTGGCCAATCGCCGAGCGTTGGGCTCGTCGGGTCTGAAGCTGACGGTGCGCGCCATGGGCACACCCGTTGAAGGCTTGCCGCCAGAAGAAGGGGATTGGAGAGCCAGAGTGGGCTTCGCAAAGTCCTTGACAACGACAGGAGCTGGAACGTGACCTCGCCTCTTCCGAATCGATTGTCCGAACACATGGGTTGTATGCGCCGACTCCTCAGGGTTGAGCGGAGCGGCAGATTGTTCTTTGGAGGATGGCTGACCTTGCACTGGCATCGCATCTTCGTCTACGCTTTCTTCGAAGCTCTCTTGCGCATCCTCGGCGCTAGCTTCAGCTTCTTCCTCGTCTTCTTCGCTTCTGCTCACTGGATGAAGTCTCCGCACCAGGCGATCTTCATTGCTTTCGTCGCTTTCCCCATCGGCTTCCTGTTGGCCTTCCATATCTCCCGTCTTCCTAGGCTTGTCATTCCGTCTAGCGGGAGAAGAGGAAGAAGAGTCCGGATGAGATCCGCGGCGGCGTAGGCGACTCGACGTGACGCTGCTACGACGGGAGACCGCTTCGCCTCGATCGCCCTTCATGGCGGCTGCGCAAGCGACTCGCAATTTCTTCCCAAGACCTGCGGTTTGCCAGTGCTATCTGGTTCCAAGCTCGATGATCATGTTGCTGTCTGGACGTAGCAGTGCGGTGGATCAGCCCAAGAGATGGTCGCACCTGATGCGATCCGCACTCTTCAAGTCAGGCACGCGAGCGGTGTGCCGAGAACGGGGCTGAAACAAGCTACGTCTTGGGTCGCAAAGAGAATTCCACTGAGATCGAGTGGGCTGTATTTGTCCGCGGATGTGGATCGTCGTAGAGAGCCGGGAACATGTAGCCGCTCGGAAAGTATGAGAAAGGACACGACACCGACTCTCAACGTTTACCGTGTTATGATCCGTGAGTGTGATTGCGAGGTGAGGGCTGGATAGTAAGAAACGTGTCGCATAATCGGGGCAGCGGGAGTCGTGAGTGTTCACGAAGATGTGCAGCAGCGATGCGAGCGAGGGTCTTGCATGCGTGCGTGCATGCATGCATGCGAACCAATCAATCCATCACGGAAAGCAGCCGAGGTGAGGCGATCGATGATCTTGTTTGAGCTTCCACACAAGGATGCGATCGATGCTGCTGCTGCTGCTGCTGCTGCTGAGGAATGGAGTGCGCATTCTTGATTCCAATCACGAATGACTGCCCGCTCAAGACGTCGCAAGGGAGGAGCATAGAAACCTCGAGATGAAGAACGGCAGCTTGGAAATTTTCCTCTCTAGAAGTGCGCGGTGAAGGCGAGGTGTGGTGCCCCTCAGCTCTCACAGGCTGTCCCGAACCCACTGAGTGCTGACGTGTTGCACGGTGATGACGAGCCCGGTGCGCGCTGCAAGCTACGATAGATACCGTACACGTGCGACATCCGCGTCCCTGCGCACTCGTAACTCACCACTCGTCACCACTTTCACCTCTCCCAATCGTGAATGAACATTACAACGCACCCCTCCTCCCCGCATCGTCGGAACAAGGTCAAGCTGCAGATTCCAGCTGCAGAGTCCGAGTCTAGGCCCCAATCACGATCGAATTCGCAAAAGTCAGTCGCAGGTCGGAGTGCAAGCAGCTGGCAAGCGCTACAAGTCCGTGCGCGGTCTGAGCAGCAGAGAAACACAAGCGAGACCGAACGGTGCATGGACGATACATGAGCGAGCGATTCAAGATCCGCTTTTGGTTTCTCGAGGTCTTTGACATTTGTAAGCGATTCACGGATCCTTCTCCTTCGTTCGCATTGATCACTCTGAGCGCAGCCGCGCAAGTGTCTACGCATCGTCGCACCTATACTGGGCCGGAGTCTTGGCCGCACGCTTGTCGTCTCAGCAGAAACCAAGGCGAGCAAAGCAGCAAGCAAGAACACAGATTGGTATCATTTGTGCAGGGACATGGACAAATCGGCGCGGGTGAAGGGGGTGGCGGGTCGAGGACGGCAGAAAAGACAGCAGTTCAAGAGATGGATGGCTAGTGTAAGGAGCATTGGTAATGTCAATCAGGGAGAGGGAGGGGGCAAAGGATCAGAACGCAGATGATGGGTCGAGTGAAAACAGGTTGAACGGGAGAGTCGACGGTCAAAAGCCTCATGGTAGTTTGATGCATCAGGTGTAGACGCGGTGATGTGGAATATCGCAGAGACTTTTGCGGTTTCGGCGTGCAAGAACCCCGGAACCCAACAAGTCGCTTGAAGCGCATCTCGCTCCACCCTAGGACGTATGCGACGTCTCCGTAAATACGAACGGGGTGGCCTTGCGGCCTGCAGAATGTCGTTGCACTTGTGTGACTACTCCCGCGCGGCTACGTTGAGCGCCCAAATTTGCAAGAGAGCACCCGACTCGGCGTCTCGTCGCCCGCGCCGTCCTTGCCGCGAATGCGCATGGATCGTCGTGAATAGTGCGGCGTCTCGCTGCTGTCCGGACTCAGACCTCTAGTACTTGATGCCGCCAGTGCCTGCACCAATCATTGCGCTCTCATTGGCCATACGTAATCCCCCAGGACAAGCAAAGTG